AATATCAATATTTATCGGTATTTTCCTAATAATTCGAAATTTTCCTTCTGAAATAATATCTTCGTAATGATATTATTAGATAGTTAGGATTTATAAGAAGTCGACTTCTTGTTCTTTTTTTTCGCTCCGTTTATTCTTTAAGCTTATATTACTTTTTATATCTTCTTAAGATATTTACTATATCGATCTTTAAGTCGAGCAATCGATTTATTTCGTTATATTCTCTCTTATCTTAGTCTTGAAATATAATCTTTCGATATCTTATCTTAATACCATATCGATATTATTTATAGATAGTCTCGTCGGGATTATTATCTCAAGTAGTAGATACCTCTATATTATACTATATATACCCGTAGAATATATTATGTATACTCGTAGTAATATATAATATAATATAGAAGCTGTAGAGCGGTTTTAAGATCGATAGTTTGTCGCTTTTTAGTATCTAGATTATATAGAAATAGATACTAATAGTAGTCGCAGATGAGAGTATTATATTCTTATTGTATGAACAAGGGAATTCATTCAAGGGAATTCACTTCAAAGGATTCACTTCAATACAATGGCAACTGTATTAAGGGTATTAGGCGAAAGCGAAGGAGACTAGCTCTTTCAGTAGTGCCTATATAAGGCCTACTATTTCCCTCATTAACTAGCTCCTTAGAGATTGAATACAAATAGACATTTAGGGGCCTACACATAGTGGGAACCACGTCTTCTGTATCTCTCTCAAACCAACACTTATCGAAATAGGTATTCGGACTTACTCAACCTTCGAGGTTGATGCCGATAGTAGTCTGAGCTATTCGATGTGTCGTAGAGTTCGTATCGATTCTTTAGTCCTAATAGTAATATCTTAGTCGATAATTTTCTTCGTTTTTCGATCTTAGGATCTCGATATATTATATTCTGATAATATTCGCTTAACAGCAATAGGTATAGGAGACGCTCCTGTTCGAATCCACTCCTATATTCTTAATTAGTAATATCGACTTCTTAATTAGTAATATCGACTTCTCTCAGACTTATATACTATACTCGATCTAATCCTTATCTTCTGCGATCATCGATCTAGTAAGATTTCCTAATGACTCCCTACTCTTCTCATATTCAGCTTGTTTCTTTCGATTCGTTGGCGCAAAGTTTATCTTCGATTCTTTCTTCGTGTTTTCGTATTCTTCGATTCGTCGTTTCGTTACAGGGTATACAGGTACCCTGTATACCCTGTAATACCCAATACGTCTTATCATATAAGCCCTGAATACCCAATACGTCTTATCCTGTATACCCTATACACCTTGTCTTATATACCCTGATATACCCTGTATACCCTATACGTCTTGTCTTGTATGCCCTATATACCCCTCCTTATAGGGTATATAGGTTCTGTAGGTTCTGTATTTCTTCTCTCTCTACACCTGTTTCTCCACCTCTGCCTCTGTACTTCTCATTCTTTTCCTCCTCTTCCTCAACTCCACTCTCATCGTCCCCTCCCGTATACCCATAGACATCTTATTTCTAGATTTGCCACGTACAAATGCTTTTGTCGAAAAAAATATTTTCCGACAAATCATTTGCACGTATTTTTCTTATTGATGCGACATTTTTTCTCAAGACACTCATACTTGGAGTCTCAAATACTGCTATGTGAATGCTTCACCGGGAGTGACATCTCTGGTTCTGTTACTCGCCGGGGTGCAACATCATTAGCCCCATCACTCACCGGTAGTAACATCTTCGATTTTGTGAATCACCGGGGAGCAACATCATTAGCCCTAGTGCTCACTGGTAGCAAAATCGTTAACCTTACTACTCACCAGTAGTAATGCCTTTGATCTCGTTGATCACCGGGAGTAGCATCTTTGATTCTATTACTCACCGGAGATCAATATCATTAATCTTACTACTCACCGGGTCTGATATCCTTGATTCTATCACTCACCGGAGGACAACATCATTAACATCATTACTCACCGGGCGTTCATTGTTTCGGATTCAATCTTCATTTGTCGGGTATAACTTTTGTATAAGAACTTTCTTTTTGAGGGGTAGGGGGTGTAAGATAATAAGTAGAGAGATTCGGGGATTGGAACTTAGAGAAGGGGTGGTGATAAGGAAAGGGGGTAGAAGGAGTTTGTATGGAACTTGTATGGTGAGCTTTTGATTTCAGATTTTCTGGTTAAAGGCGGTGGTGATGAGCAGAGGCTTGGATCGGTGACACGTTGACTATATGACTCATTCCAATTCTTCAAGTTTAGCTCTATACAATATATAAGATATGCATCTCAGAGGCTCTACATGACAGCCCTTCCTATCTTCCTTCATTCTCCTCATCCCGTCTTACCCACTCACCAACCCCCTAGGTCTCAACCACCATCCCCCAATAACCCCGGCACACCCCGCCATACAACAGCCTGTATAAACAACCATATCCCTATACCTCTCTACCCCATACCCCCCAAGCACCACCTTTTCCCCCAATAACCCCCCACTAATGGGACCAACCAACACATTTCCCACTCCCTGTAGACAAATAAAAATCGAGTAAATACTCACTACACTCCCCGGATCACTACAAATCAGCTTCCCCATCGCCACTCTCATCGTACTAAACCCGTATCCAAAAAACCCATACACGATTCCATATGCAATGAGCAAACCCATCGATTTTGCAAATCCCCAGAGTAGCAATGATGAAATCGTCGCCATGATTGTACAACCCACCGCGAGAGCATTGACGGAGAAATTCTTATCAGACAAGTAGCCGCAAGCGAATTGACCTGCGACTTGCGCTACACTCATGACTGCTAATATCGCAGCACCTTGTGTACCGCTCAATCCGATATTCGTAGCGAAAGAAGGGAGATAAACCCCTGGGTAGAAAAATCCCATTCCATAAATCAATGTTGCAGATCCATAGATATAAAAAAGTTTATTTTTCAAAAACCCCCAATTTGTGCGTGCCAATCTACTGCGCTCACTGGGTGGCAATCTCCCTTTCAAAAGCGGCAGCAAAGGAACCGTCAAGATGGTAATCCCAACTGAGATAATCCTCAACGCAGTTTTATATCCATATTTCTCGAGCAGAAATTGAATAATAAACGGCATTCCCGCGCCACTGACCCCACTCGCCGCACTGATGAGTCCAAACGCCATTCCCTTCCTCGCGATCCACCATTCGTTTATCATACTTATGATAGGATATGTGAGGATGAGGAATCCGCAACCGTACATCACACCCTGGGTCCAGATTAATCCCTGCACAGAGTCGCAGAAGGAACCGGCGACGAGTCCGAGGATACAAATTGGGAGGCCGAACCAGATTTGATGGGTTTGATGTTTAGGAAATCGTTTGGTGAGGGATGCGGAGAGGGGGGCGCCGAGGTAACAGAGACCTTGGGAGATAGTTCCGATGAGGGCGATTTGGGATTTGGAGTTGGCGAATTGGGGTAGTGTGAAGTAGTAGTCTTGAAAGACTCCGAAGGAGATAGGGAAACCTTGGGTGATGGATGTTAGTAATTTCTCGGTTACGACTTGATGAAAGCGTGATAGTAGGACGAGCGAAGAGTATAGCGAGAATCGGTGTAACGTTCGAATAAAGGAGAAAAGGAGAAGAAAAACAAACCCCATAAAATCGCCTCGAACACAAACGCCGCAATCAATAATCTCCAAGCTGCTGGTCCCCCATCTACAGGTTTGAGTTGTTGATAAACTCTCTCCGGATCCTCAGCTTGAAGTTCTGCTTCCGTGTCGCTTGTACTCCTAATTCCCTCTCCTACTCTTCCGGCATCTGCAATAATGTCCGCTACATTTGCTGATTCTAGGTTTTCAACATTGAAATTTGTGAGGGGATATGAAGTTTTGTGGTTTTGGTGCGGATTATCGAACGATTGAAGTTCCACTGGTATATCTGATGGTATCGCTAAAGGAGATTCATTACGATGATGAGAAGTATGTGATGTCATCTCGGGGACCCAATTAACTTTCTACGATCTCAAAGAAGTAAATGAATTGAAAGATAATGAAGTATACATTTTGATTCTTGAGGATTGACCTTATCTATATATCTTCATGCATGGCCGACTGATAGTGAAGCGTGTAGGGTTCCGATGACGGCAGACATGACTAGAATGGAGTATTTCTCCATTTAACCCACAGATAACTTTATTTGTGGATTGTTTGTAGGGCCGACAGTATGCGTGGTGGAGTTCGTGGGGATGATGATTAATTGACATTGACACGCCCTTCATGAGTAATAATTTTGTTCGTTGGTCAATGCGGAATGTTTAGCGAAGGGGTTTTTGGAAATGTTTGATATGTGATGTAGAGTTGTATTATATTGAACTGTATATACCCTTAAGTCTCGCTATGCAACAAAAGTAATATATCCAGCTGTTCTCTACACTTCGTATGGTTTGTCATAGATGTCCAAATATCGCCTCATCTAAACCCCTCCCTACCTGTCTTCATCGTTTTATCCAACATTCATTCTAAAAGCTCTAATTGTAACCCGAGTCGAGAGTGCAACGCTCAATATGCCTTATCTCTTCCCGTTGTTATAAGCTTCCCTCGCAAATTTACCCCATCAAAATGATTAATTCTTCCGTCGCGCTCCAGACTTTCCCAATCTTTTCATCTCCCAAATAATTCGAATCATATACTCCTCGTCTTTCCCCCCCCCCCAAAAAACTATAACCTGTATTCCTTCTAAGCTGCATAATGTGGAATACAATTTCGCTCGCTTTCAAATTAAATAATTTGAATCATATACTCCTCGTCTTTCCCAAAAAACTGTAACATTGTATTCCTTCTAAGCTGCATGATGTGTGATAAGATTTCGCTCGCTTGCAAGTTCTTTCCAAAAGGATAGGAGCCCTTAAGCTATCTATACACACATAACTTTGTTGATTGATTAGAATGGACAATAACAACATAGGTTGATTGATACTCACTTCAATTTTGTAGCAAGAAATTGACGATAAAAATCGATTTGAATATTAACCTTCAATCCTGCTTCCCATCATTTGCGATGGTTCTTCGTCATCATCCGTCTCATCATCTGTCTCGTCATTTGTCACCTCTACCCTCTCAATACCCCACTCAATTTGTTCACTCCCTCGCAATACCCTCTCCCATTGAAACCCTGCCAACATCAAATAAATCCTATGTTTGTGGATGTAGCGTTGAAAGATTTGACGCGTTACCGGGTAAATAGCACATGCGTGAATCAATCTCTGCTCTATTCCTATATCCAAATCCAAGACGTCTTGTCCTGATTGGAGTCTCTGCTCAACTTGAGCATCTGCGTACGAACACATGAACTTGATGCGTCGCTCGAGTCGGAGGCTCGAAGCTGGAAATTCGGGAACTTGGTCCCTTATAGCTTCCTCGTAACTTGGTAAATGCATTTCTTCTTCATATGATGGTGGTGTTGAAGATTGAATTGCGTGATAGAGGCCATCCGAATGCTGCTCGGTTGGCGCGACGTTTTGAAAAGGCATCGACATTTTGACAAGCGGTTGATTGTAATGATTGCTGACGGATAGAGATTTATTGGCTGTTGGTAACAGTAAAGTCCGAAAGCAATTTAGGCGTTTTGATGCTGATAAATTGAATGATAAATTGGTATTGTGATGTAGTAACTATGTCGATTTCCGAAAGATGTTCTAAAAAGGTATGTCGAATGAAGATTGAATGAACTGTTCAATAGATACAGTCCAAGGCTACGCTTTTTAGATTGATAATTTCGTCAGATGATGGTATACTGTGGATATTCGAATATCTGATATGTTAGATGATGGTAGAATATGAATCTGGAGTGTTGATTGATCGAATGGTAAATTTGTGGTTTTGACAGAAAAAGAAAATTGCTGGGATGCTCAGGAGTTCTTAAAGGAAACGAAGAGAAGCTAGGGAATACTAAGTAGGTATTTGATCTAGATCGCCAAGCGTTACCTAGTGGCTGGTTATTGCTACTAAATCTGTCTAGGAAGTAACACTGGACTGCTTCAAGAGTCTTTCACCCCAATTAAGCTTTTAGGATAGTGTTCCTAAGTCAAATGGATAGGGAGCATTCATACATTCTAGATAAGTATTGGAGTAACAGAAGATAGCTGTATGCCGAGATTGTAAATTCTGACGATGGAGTAGTAATGAAGGGGCAAGAGTAACAGCCAATACGTCACTCAATACGAGAGAAAATCAAAGTATGGATTTGTACGGAAAATACTATTCAAATCGTTGCTCACGTACTTGACTCCGAACTTCAATTTATATCTTCACTTGAAATTTTCCCAAAAAATTGATTTAGATATCTATTTTTCGACTTTTATCATCCCGATGCGGACTGAGGACATGGTTTGTCAAAACAATTATTTATTATCATTTGTTAATAGGCTTCAGTCCTACATGTGTACTGGCTAACATTGCTCTGCATCGAGACATACTTTTTCTCTTGAATCTATAGTCTTATAATTCGATAGTCATTACAATGCAAGTCTCCGTATGCCTACAGTATCATTTCTCTCCTTCTTTCGAAGATTCTCGCTTAGAACCTTCCCCTTTCATCTCGAATCGACATTAACTTTTGAACCTTACAAATTTACAAAATGCATCTTTCTTACAATTACATCAACCTCCACGTCGCTCTCTCTTACACCTGATTGAATATTGGGAAAAGTATTGTATCGCTCTTCAATCCAAGATATATTGATAAAATGGTTTGGAAAATGGATTTTATAATACACATAAAGACTTCGGTTTTCGGAAGATTTGACCACCTGTCGGCTATTCATATCTGGGCCAACCACCAGTGGGTAGTCGACAGAATTTTTCTAAGAGCTGGCAAGTAGAACTTAGAACTTAGAACTTAGAACTTTTAATTCGAAAGATGGATATTTTTTCCTCATTTTTTATCGGAAAATGAATGGAAAATACCAAAGGAGTTTAGTTGGCCTACCTAGTAAATGAACTAGCTCGGCTAGGGATATCAGATTGCACTCTAAGGGGGAAACATGATTGTTTGTCGGGTGGCAGAGATCCAGATCTAACAGATGAGATAAAGAATTGTTTTACGAATAAAACGTTTCAGATGTTCTATATGATCGCTATGAAATGAAGAGCATGTGAAAACAATCAATTGACACACCAATGAAGCATCGAAACAATCAATTTATGGTCCTACAAGTAAGAAGACTTATTCGGTACATGATCATCAATCCCATTAGCTCCGAGAGCCCTATGCAGTCATCCAAGCTTAGATAAAGCCAAGGATCAAGCCAGAAAAATGATTTGCAGATATGCAACAGAACTAAGCGTAAGAGTGAGTGCTGTCATCGATATTTGACTGCAGCAGGACAATTGGGCAATTGACAATACACTAGTCTAATGGCATATCCGCGCGGACCCTAACAAGTTCAAGAAACGGGCGATGTCCATAATTGTACGCATGTGATACCAACTCTAATCAGAACCTCCATCATTGCACTTGCATGGATTATTTCATCCGTCGTATCATGTTTTTCTTCACTTCTTGAAATAAAAAGATGATCCCCTGATTGGAACTAGTTCATGTTATCTTCAAGTCAAAGAGGAAACTCAGTATGAGGAATTGTCGACGTGCATCAATCAATTAAACAGGTCAAAAATTGACGAACGCTAAGTCATCAAGGAGTCAAGGCCTATTGCCATACTATTAATACAGTGGTTGAACCAGAAAGAAGCCACTTGGATCACATCTTGTGAATGAACTTGAAATTAGGATCATTTGATAGAGCCAGCCTGATTCATATCAATTTAGGGCAACAATGGTTAAAGTTGAAGACCACAACGTAGGGTCTTATGAGTAAGCAGATGTTTTCGCCATAGCAGCCAGAATGCTGGCTCAAAATCTGGTCAGCACGGTAGCGTCAGGAAACGAGGGTGTGAATTACTATGATCGTTCTGCTGCTGAAGCATTCATATTGATACCAAGGCTATTATGTTTATTTTGTGCTATTTGACATAGCTGCTACGAAATAATGCCATCAATTCTTAATCATGAGAAAAGTGCATGTAAAAGGACGGAGTTTCAAGCCATTTGGGCATGTATAGAAGTGATGATGTGTTACTTTTGATGTGTATATAATGAGCCTGCATGAGATGAAGTTATCCAAAAGACTTCACGGGGAATTCCGTGCAAATGATCTGTTCCAACCTTGCAAATGAGGGGACTTCGCGGGGTACATAAGTTTACATCAACACTTTCACTCTACTCAATAGTTGAAACCAATTAATAAGATATGTCAATCCTCTGAATAGGATGATGTTTTGGATATTCTTATTTGCTAAGTTCACAATTCTTCATACTCAACCTTCGTTTGCGATGCCATACTCGTGATGCGCTGTCGAAAAATGGGTTGTATGTGTGGAAATTCACGTTGTCTGTACGGATTTGCTATGCAAACGAGCTACCAGGCACGTCTATCTGGGTTTGCAGACAAAAATTTCAATTGCCTCTGAATGAATTGCTTAAAGCTTACCGGTACTTGATTCTATCGAGCAGTATGGAAATATTTCCCCACCAGACTGGTACCAACGAGAATGATATGAGTGAAGCCAATACGTGGAAATGTATTCAGGTCGAGCTTATGAAGTTGGACGGAAGACCAGCCGAACTTGGCGATTTCGGAATGAGTTGAAACCTCCCAAGAAACAGATATCATGTTGAACCTATCCGAACATGTCTGCGGAGATCGACAATTCAATCTTTTAGAGTTCTTTAGATAGAGCTGATCCTCGTAGTACTATCCTTGGCTGCCAGTAGCTCCAGGTATAGTGCTTTTTACTTTCTTGGATGAGGGGTAGTCGTGATTCGAATCAGTGGAATTCATGTGTACTGCAAATCTGGATGGACTTCAAAGAAAAGAAAGACAGATGGGAGTAGTTGCACTGCATACCTTCCCGTTTAATCAGATATAAAACGAAATTGATCATTTTCTGGTGAAGGTAAATTGGAAGTAGGTAAGCTTTTTCACTCTAAAGATCATGATGAAATAATCAAGTACCTAGCTCCGACTAGCTTGGCACTGGTTCATGTTAGTGGGCTTTAGCGAATATAGGATACGACTGTGGGATGTATATATATTAAGCCATATCCCACCAGATTAAACATCTTCATACAAAATCAACACACAATGGATCCCCTCGAAGATGGATTTCTGGATCGTTACCAGCGGAACAAACAAGGAGATTTGTCCGACCTAAACAGATTACCCATTTCAAACCCACTTCATCCATTGAGACTGAATTCTATCCCATCACAGATTTCTGAACCGACTCTTGTACCTAACTCAACATTTCTTCGGACATTCATGAGCAAATCCACCCTAATACGCATGGCATCACCAATTGTTCCTCAAACATGTCGTTTAGCAAACATACCCAAGGAAATACTTGGTATCATACTAGGATATTTGCCCCCATCATCAGCTTCGTCGCTAGCACTCACCGGTAAAGGCTTTCTCGCGGCTGTAGGAAATGTCCCTTTCGAGGCACTGTCGAGGGACCGTTATGAGACATACGTCCTTCTCTGGTCCATTGCAAAAGATCTACCCGAGCAAAGTGTGTGCCACTCTTGCAATCGACTCCATAACACTGAGACCGCATTGAGACATTATCGAGATGGAAGAAACGGACGTGGAGAATCTCAAAAGAGGTACAAAGCCCCGAAGTGCCGAATAGATGCTCGTCTCGACTGGGACTACAAGGAGTTGTTAGATCAAAATTTCAGTCCAGGAATTTTTAATATGGCTATGAAACATTCGCTCCACAACCCAGATTGTGGGGAATTTTTGAATGCACTTTCCGGAGAGTGTACAGCTAAGAATTATTGGGATTCTTGGACCAGAGAATCCCAAACAGATTGTCGGATTCTCCGGGGAACCTTCATTCATCGTACACAGATGGTTTGGATCACACCCACAATCAACCGAACGCCATACGGTTTGACTATGGAACAATGTGCTCACACTCGGGTATGCTATATGAGCGGGATTATCTACACAAGGTCATATGGTCTCTCGCATGAAGATGACAATGCAGATTCGCAGAGTCTTTCGTGCGATTGGGACTCCCCAGAGACTACTTCGAATTTATTGAAGTGCCGTCGTTGCTCTACACAATGCCAATTGACCATGAAACCCTTGCCCGTGAAAGGGTCAGGAATGGCATTTTACATTACTAGATGGGTTGACCTGGGATCCGGTACATTGGATGAGAAATGGCAAAGATACTTTCAACGAGGTAGATTCGCATTCGAATATCAACAGCAACCAGATTCGTTAGTTTTGTCTTCGGTATTCGAGAATGATGGTGGATTTCGAAGCAAGATAGAGGATCAACGCTATGCACCATTGTTCCATCCTTCAGTCTCTGAAACCCGAGAGACATCAGTATAATTGGAATGAATGGTTATTTGAAATACTTTATGTATTCTGACCGTTCAACGGAGAGGACATGAGGTGCAAATGCCACCCACGATCTCTTCCAATAATTATGGTCGTGATTAGTCACCATAGTCTCTTCAAATACCGTGGTTTTGATTCGTCATCAACATTAAAATCTGTCTGTGATTTCGTGCCGCGGGGTAGTTTTGGACCCAAACACATGTTGATAGAACTTGAACATTCAACAATTTCACTCAAAACATATAATTGTGTATATTCGATAGATAGCTATTCTGTATATCATAGTTATTATTACCTATCTAGGTATATTTCTAGGTACCATCATCAATATTTATATTTAATATTGAAAACCCCCTAAAATCGTTTTTGATAATGTGATGATTTCCATGCCTATGCCCCGCCATTATTATATAAGCCCGTGCCCTTCGAACTTTGGATCTTGAATTTTTGATAAAAACTTCCCAAACCGCAATCAGATCATATTCTTCACATTGAAAACTACTACACCCCCCTTTAATAGATAACGATATGGAGGATGACCGTGCACAAGTCGATTTGGGGGTAGCTGTCGATGTGGAAAACATTCTCGAAGAGCCAGTGGCACAACGCCAACCAAAGAAACGTTTCGTGGGAAGAAAGCAAGCTGCAGAAGCTGCTGCACGCAATGGCAATAATACAACTCCTGGGGACAGTGATGCCATTCAAGGTCTGTAACCGCACATTCTCAGATTTACTTCTCTAGCTAATGTTATCATAGTTGCGACTCCTAGAAGAATTCGAACATTAAATCAAGTTCCTCCCGAAATTCTGAATGACCCCGATATCAACGCTGCGATCGCTCTCCTTCCGCCAAACTATTCCTTCGAAATTCACAAAACTATACATAGAATAAGAATGAATGGATCAAAGAAAGTTGCGCTACAGATGCCTGAAGGCCTACTCTTATTCGCAACCACAATTTCGGATATTCTCACACAATTCTGTCCTGGAATTGAGACGCTTATAATGGGAGATGTTACATACGGAGCCTGTTGTATTGATGATTATACCGCTCGAGCTTTAGGCTGTGACCTACTGGTGCATTATGCACATTCATGTTTGATTCCCGTGGATGTTACAAAGATCAAAACTCTATACGTTTTCGTCGATATCAGCATAGATACGGCACATTTACTTGCAACTCTGGAGAAGAACTTTGCCTCAGGAAAGACCATTGCCATGGTAGGAACAATTCAATTCAACGCGACATTACATGGTGTTCGAGCGCCGCTCGAGAAAGCAGGATATAATGTTCTCATTCCTCAGATTTCCCCTCTTAGCAAAGGCGAAATCCTTGGATGCACATCTCCTCAACTATCAACTGACGGTGTTGATATTATTCTATATCTTGGCGATGGACGTTTTCATCTTGAGAGTGCAATGATCCACAATCCGACGATACCAGCTTACCGATACGATCCCTATTCTCGAAAACTCACTCGTGAAAGTTATGACCACAAGGAAATGCATACTCTGAGAAGAGATGCGATTGAAACCGCGAAACCCGCAAAGAAGTGGGGACTTATCTTAGGATCTCTTGGTCGTCAAGGAAATCCACACACCATGACAATGATTGAGAGAAAATTGGAAGAGCGAGGAATCCCATACATCAACTTACTTTTGAGCGAGATTTTCCCTGGAAAACTAGCTATGATGAGCGATGTCGAGTGTTGGGTACAGGTAGCATGTCCAAGACTCAGTATCGATTGGGGATATGCTTTCCCCAGGCCTCTGCTCACGCCATACGAAGCATTGATCGTATTGGGTCAAAAAGAAGATTGGGCAAAGAGCAACAATGATGTCTATCCTATGGATTACTATGGAAAGGAAGGTCTTGGCAGAACCAAGCCTATCTCAAGTATTCCAGTTGCTGGTTGAAAATCATTTTTGCTGCCTACTCAAAGCTTTGTTCTCCCTCTTACTGTACGATATCATACAGTTGGTCAAATTGCCCTCAATACTATGCAACGCCCGGTGGATTTGGTCCATATATCTACCAATATGCCTCCAATGACACTCTGATGCCACGCCAAATCCGCTAGACAGGAATCGGCAAATCAATACTATCGCGCTGGTTTGAGCTACCGCAACTGGTATATAGATAAAAATCCGAAGGGTCCAACACGAGGGACATTTCCCGACCAAATTTCTCCGAGAGAGGTTCAAAGAAGCTGAGTCCGAAACAGTAGCCCTGAACTTCAGAACGCCAGTTATCTCGGCAAACATCTCATTTTAATACCTCCAAGATGGGTGAGGTTAATCTACAAGAGCAAATAAACTTGTTCCCAAACTTGTTACTTCAAAGGAGATACCAAATATACCCGCAACAGTATCTGCGCTATTGAATATACTGCTATTCAATGACACTGTTACAGTTGGCTACGAAAACAGGATATTCAGCAATCTTAATGTACGAGGCTCTCTCCTAGTACATCTTGACACCCAGATTGGATATTCAAGTACAAGTTTCGAGTCGTTGCCCAATTTCGCTGGTTTCTGGGATCATTTGATGAACTCCATATTCCGATGTCTGGTTCACTAGAGGGCACTTGGGGCTAGGACTCAGACTTGATGCTATTACCTCTGAGACCAGCTACTAGTGTTGAATTTCCGAGATCGACATCTCGTGGACTGACTGAGCAGGCCGAGGACATGTTTGGACGTGGATGTATGGTGATGCGAAATAGCATATAGTTAGCAATGAAGATAGAAGAAGTATTATGCTATATGGTACATTTCTTGGGAATTACCGACTAAAACCTACCAGTCCATAAAACTCGATGTTGTTGAAAACGCGGCTACAAATATGACAAGAACACAAAACCTAGATACAAAAATTCAATCTATTTCAATGGTTTCTCTTTATTTCTCCTAGTCCTCCCTTTTTGATATGATACTCACAGTTTCATCGACCCATAATTCGTGACACGACGGCAGATGTTTGTGATGTTTGTAAGGAATTTTTATGCGTCGGCTGTTGTACAACGAGCGAACGAATGAGGGTTAGGGGTTGGGCCCGCTTTCATTTAGACAGGTGACTGATTGGGTTGATAAGATGATATGTTGTTAGACAGAGAAGATAACTCGTTCGCAGACTTGAAGATTGTTCCAGCATCAGTATCTGGGGATTGGCCATGTGATTACGGTTCTACTTAGATGCGGAATTTGAATGGAATAGTCAGGTAGGTAGCATACGTTGTCAGAGATGGTATGGGAAGGGATTCTGAGTGATTTTGAGTCGAGGATTTCGCTTGTTGAGCTGCGAGAGATAGATATTGCTTCACAGATGAATTTCACGGTTGAATTGAAAAATGCACATAAAGTCAGATGAAGGAAGTTCAAAGTTAAATGCTTGAGTTGTTAAGTGCTTAGTACGTAAACAAATGATAAGTAACGCTAAGCCTCGCTTTCAACAATCCATGATTACTTTCAGAAGTGGTAAAAGGTCCCGTCTAAACTAGTGACCATCAAATCAAAGGTTCTTCCTAGACAAAACCGCATACCATCGACTTTTTGTTTCATTCGTCAGAGTGAATTTTATCCCTTCGATAGGTATCTTTCTCTGACTCGGAAGTGTGATTAGACGCCGGAATAGGTGATGCCTCAAATACGCAGAAGATTTCATCTCGATATTTTCTCTTCGCCAGTAAGCTCCAGAGATCTTTCAATTCATCCGGACTATCGACGGAGAATTTTTCCTCGGATAGCAGCATCAAGTCCAACGAGATATTGTTCCAGCATCGAGATGCCGTTTGGTAGGCGTATTCTTCGGGGATTTCTCCTGCCCAGTGAATGAAGATGGATGTGTCTCCTTTTACACACGAAGACTTCTCAGACGAAGCTTGAATATTGATGGTCTGAATGAGCATATGCGAAATTGTTGAGAAGTCTGCTGATGAGACGATTCCGAGAGTAGTATCGCAAAGAAAGGGAAATGATCCATCTGAGATGTTCATAGCTCGGATTTGGATACCAGGAGTCATTGATGGCTGAGCGCCCGATGATGATCGATCAGACATCTCTGGAAAGAAATTTGTCAGGTCTGTGGAGTATGGTTCAACAGAGCTATAACTCACTGTTTTGGACTCTTGGGAGGTGATTAATATCGCTTTAGAAGGATTGTATTGCTTTGAATGAGGGGTCTATGACCAGAAAATAGAAAAACAAGTATGATATAACGCTGGAAAAGTATTGAGGACGCTAGGTGAGCTCAACAATTGTACAGCCACAAATATTCACTAATACAGTCAGATTGCGTTTGCTTGACTCCGAACAAAAACGTACCTGATCCTACTGCTGAATATTCTGAAACAATATGGAAATTCTGATTGAATGTGTCAAGCGGAGTTTGAGTCAAGCGAGATTTTATCAAGAGAAATACTTCCAAGTCAAACATAATCTATGGTGCCTGGACAGTGAATAGATCTGGCTACCTTCCTGATCAATTGCTTCAGAATGATATGTGCACTACCACTCTTGGAGAGTCTTGACATTGGATTATTCAATGTGATCCATGAAATCTATTGAAGTGTTTTTTGTGATGGGGGCCTGTGAATAGAGCAAAATATCACGTCGCGATAATCTCTCTCAGCCAGCAATTCGAGGAGAAACTCGAAATTTACCCTATACCGTGGGCCTTTCTCACGTTTGTACAATCTCATTGTTTTTACCCCAATTTCATTCCACCTTTTGCATTTCAGCCATTCGGACCATTCGGACCATCCGTCACATTCTGGTGGGACATCCCCATCCCAAACAACAAACACGTCGACAATCTCGGGACTCACTCCCAAAAGAGGTACAAGTTGAAGGTCGATAATCTGCTGCAGATTGCGTAGCATCTGCCACCAGTCTTGGGGAGAGTCTATATCGAGAAGATTATCGGAAAGGATTGGGGGTCCGCGACCTCTTACACTATTGTAGCCCCCTTTCTCGACCAGAACATCGAGACAAACTTGTACTTTCAATCCACGATCAACAAATAGTGCACATTGAGGCTTGGGTGAAGGAGACCTGGATGACGGAGATTCAGGTGAAATGAACTTGAGTAAAGAAGGCTCGGGTGAAAGAGGCTCCGATGAAGGAGAGATAAACTTTGGTGGAGGACTCTCTGGTGAAAGAGACTCAGATGAAGGAGATTCAGATGAGGGTGACTCGGGTGAAGCAGATTCAGATGAGGGAGACTCAAGCGAATCGAATTCCGGTGAAGTAGGCATATTTATGTTTCTCGAGAGAACAATTAAGTAAACGAAAATGACTTGACATCCAAAACAAAAGGTTGAGATACTGTTATAAATGTCGTGATTATTAACCAAAAAACACCACATCGATGGAATTCTGAAGCATGGCCCTCAAAAATCCATATTGTTTCAATATTGCATCGAAGCTTCCCATTCCGAATGGTAGCTTGGGCTGTGGAGATCACTAGCTCCGTGAAGGTAGTTCCATATTCATTTAAGGAAGGAGTTAGGTGCAGCCTGACTCCCTCGTTATGGGCCCTGAAATTTCTACTTTTGCACACTAATATTATGCGTCTTTGGGCCGGTTAGTGTTTCTGATTGTATACATTCGTTCTTCGAATTGTTTTGAATGATTCCGATTTGAAATGATAACCATGCATGCAGGCATAGTCAACTTTGTCGGTCTTTTTTCTTTGGTTTGGGCACACCTCTGTATGCCCCGAACAAAATACCTGCCTCGAGAGTTGGCACACATGATCTTCCGTACTAGAATAAAAGACAAGCTTCAAATGAGTTATGGCGTGACCTAAATAACGAGCGACAGCTTGGCAATGTGATGATCGCCGACATCGAAAGCCTCTGGAGCACAGAAATCTGAATAAATTACATCTGAATGCATTCGGAATGAGCCCAGAAAGAGCGTGATAAGGTATTCATTCTTTGGCGATGCAATTTTCTCATCTCGGTATTGCGTTGGTTGGACCAGTAGATTGAGTAACATTGCCAAAAAAGATGGCAAAAAAATCTCCCAATCTCCCAGAATTATCTCAAACATTCTTTAAGATCATAGGGAATCTGGGCCATTCGAACAAATTAATCATTCAACCCTCCAGTCTTCCTGACTTTAAAATCAAAGATAGTCTCATCTGAGTTGTAGTCCATAATCCTAGGTAGTTTTTCCTATTAGGGGATGATCTCTTTGCCATTCACTTTCTCTGGAGAAGATGCAGATCACTAGTTATGATGCGAGAGATTCTGTGACTAAACAAAAGCTGGCAAGCTTTGTTTGTGGTGCTTTTTACGAATCGAGCATTGCAGCGTTTTCAGCCTGCCCAGAATTTTTTCCAGGCTGAATGGCTAACTTAAAGTTGACCTTGTTCATCATTGACATGATATCTAGGAATTGTACGATATAGACCTGGGTTCTCCGCATCAATATCAAGGAAGTCATCAACGGACCAATCATGCTTTGCTGGCCAGGTGAGCTGGGACTGTGATTGGAATTCTTGATATGAGCCCGTTAAATCGACTGGCTGTTCCCATGAAATCGACGACGGCGGAAATGCTTGCTTGATCGCTAGCACAGTTTCACCACAGACAGCTACAGATTCGTACACTCTTGCACATGCTGAAGAAATGTAATTCGCATGACGCTGACGACTTATTCCTTCAATTGTCATAGCTATAAGTTCTTGGTCTCTCAAGTGACTCAACTGAGGGCTTTCAACAATGTTTAGGAAAAGCTCAAAGAACGATATGAGTGGGTCTAAATGAAGCACATTCGAGAGAGCCATGTTGCCACGGATTGATTGTTGTGCCTTAAGCTCTCCTATGATTTCCAGGGTTGTCCTGGAGTCTTCCAGAAGTCGTGATTTGTGTTCAGTTGAATTACTACGAAGCAGTAATAGGACACGATTTGCAAGGAACATATGCCACAATTCAAGTTCGACTGAGGGGTAGCTTTCTTTCAAAATGGCTGCCAGCGCATGGAAGTCTGGCCACTCCTGGTCCAATTGAACTAACAATCTCATAGCAGAACTTTGCCCCGAAGAGTATGGTTTAATTTCAGTATGATTCATATAAAGTTCCCTGTAGATTTCTTCGAGAAAGCAAGCCATTTTGATTTTGGCCAAGAAGGCTATCTTCAATGGACTTGGCTGATCAAACTCCGGCAATGGGACACTGCATTCGAGCAGGTATGATCGACAACCTTGGCTGCATCTGAAGAGCCTTAACTTGTCTATGATATACATAGACCAGAAAAGATTAGTTTGCTCTGGACTTACGAATTGGCCGGGCTGATGGAGGCCAATGGACTTCGCCATTTGGTGAGCTAATGCTATGTGCTTCGCAGCTACTTGATGATCATAGAACTCTCTTGTAACAAAACTCTGAGGACTGTTAGATCCACTCTTGCCCATCTACGTGGGAAATGAAATGAGATCAAAGCTTAAGTCCAGTCCAAGAATTATCACAGTACTGAGGCTCGAATTTTAACCATATCTTTGAATGTTTCGGGATAATCAAAATCACTTACCAATGTAAAAAGAACTTGGATTCTGGCTATCCGCGGCTTGAGAAGAGTGTCCAAGATTGAGAAAGATCTCTTGGCATTATTCAAGAGCATGAACATGAGGTCTTCATCTTTTGAGGGAGCCCCAGGAGGAGATGTCTTCAATTTTGTCAACAAAGAGAGTAGAATTATATTATTGAAGCAAAGAATCCATGTGGGGTCTGCATACCCACAGCCTATACTATACTGCTCATCTATAGCTTTCAATAGCATACCTCTGTCAAAGATTGGCAATGGATCATTGATTTCTTTAAAGTAAAACTCTAGTATAACTTCCAAAAAGGCTCTTTATGGTAAAGCTATAGGCTTGCAATCGCTTTCAACCTCCGACGGCTGTGGCATTGGCAGCGTTTTGGGAAGGTCTGTGAATCTCTGCAGCGTGGATGACACCTTTGGGTCGCTCGCAATTAATATGTCAATAAGGGAAAAATTGCCATAATTTTTGGAGTTGGCTTTCTTTTCGAACCGTACTTTTGTTCAATCAAAAGAAGCGTAAGCGGAGCTCTGTCCATAGAATCCTTCGTCGCCAGCAGCATCCATGAATCGATGTGAAGATCGGTCATATATCCTTGGCTGTGGGCCTGATTGATTGTTTCCAAATGGATCATCAGAAATAGAAGCATGAATAGAAAAATCGATAACCTCGTGATATGGAGAAGCAGTGGAGGTAGAAGATGCGATTGATGAATGGGAGCTGTTCAAATACTGTGCAATTCGAGAAACAGCACCTTCGATGCTAACTACCCTGGTATTCAGGCCATCAAAATCTTCAACTATTTCCAGGTCAATTTATATTCTAACTCGGATTCCGAAGGAGGTGGACTTACAGCTTTCTGTAACATTAGGTCTTTTCTCCCGACATGAAAATTCACATTAGCGATGAGACTTGGCACAATTTGAACATTCCGGGAGTAAACGATCATATCCTATCTTGCGCTTTTTGCATTGATCACACAATTGGTCACTTCTTTGAGAGCTCTTCGTGCGCAACTGACGCTTCATCTCGATCTGCTAGCCACGGTCGTTTGTATATCAAAGAGAGGCTCTCCGTGTTGAATACGCGGTGAAAAGTGGATTAGTATCGAGTGATAATATCTCTTTCTTTTCAATTTGGCTATGTGTAAGGATTAAAAATATGAGGACCTGTGAGAATGATGTTGTACTCAGATCCTGTGAATACCAGACATGAATTCAATATCAATTTGCACTTGATGTACCTAGAATATTGGAGTGAAGGGTATCGTACACAAGTAAGCTTTGTCATCATTTGATCATTAGCTGGTGAGCTAAAGCCCATGCATAAAACGTGACCAGGCGACAATCTCGTTTCCTTTGAGCAACGTCGCGTCTGCGACCACCCCGCTCTGTTAACAGGAAGCCGTAGTAGATGCACATATAAGCACTCAACGATCCTACTCATAATTATTTTCGTAATACTTTTAATGATATTGAGAGTTACAATAATTTTGATTAAACTACCGATACTGACATTTTCAACTACCAAGTCGAAACCAGCAGAAGCTTTATTCCCATCCAAACGAATACCTTACTGTTACCATCAAACAACTCAAGTATCCACCAAATATGCCTTCACTCCGCCGCAGTAAACCCCCAACGTGTCCCCTCCTCGCTCTACCTCGCGAAATTCGAGACGAAATCCATCGATATGTTCAATTAGGACAGCGAATTGACAAGCCAAGAGCAACGAGCTCTGGCTATCTCAGACCAAACGACAATATAATATGGCCCAACGCTTATCAACTCCTCAAAGAATCCGAGTATCGAGAAGAAAAAGATCCCAGGGCGGTGTTCCGGCCAGATGCCGAAGATATCCTCATACTGGCGCGAACGTGCGAACAGCTTTATAAAGAATCAAACCAAATCTTCTACAGTGAGAATGCGTTCTCGTTTGAGGGTACTTGGAGTTTGTATTGTTATCTGTACATGATTGGCGAGGAAAAGCGACGGTGTATTCGCCATATAAATTTCCATTTCAGAGGAATTCAGAGGGTAGATGCATTCAAGTTACTTGGCGAGTGTAAATCGTTAAGCACTCTCAGGATAGGAGTTGGACAGGATACGATGTCTGGTAGTAAACAACCGAAGTTGGATCTAATGACAGCCAGAGGTCTTTCTACATTGAGAAAAATAAGAGGGATGGAAAATTTGGTGGTAGATGTGGTAGAAATGGACCAACCATCCAGCCATACTTACTCGTTCCCCTACATGGGATCGCTGGACCAATCATCCACACATGCTTACTTGTTACCCTACAGAGGATCGCTGGACGTACCCTCAAAGGTTCCGTATTTCATGCCGGGAAAGGTCCAAGAATTTGCAAGGACGTTGACAGAGGAGATGAATTGGAAAGAGGAGACGCCGGAGCAGAATCAAATCCAGGATGTATCATTTGAAGAGGAAGAAGTTCTACAGTCGAAGCCAAAGTCCAAAAATTCCAAACCAGCAGTAATTTCCAGTACTCGAACTCTACTCTCCGGTAAAATTCAAAAGTCGACATCCACACCTAAGGGAAAGGTGGCGAAAAAAGCAAAGACAAGTAGAAAGGGGAAATAAACTTACTACTTTGGCTTCTCGGGATTGGCTACCGTGGGTGGTGGGACATGAGAATCACAAAGAGTTGGCCATTGATGAACGTATCAACTTTCGATATACGCTTGCCATTGCTCTCTCGTCTACATTCATTTGTTTCCCGGCATTGCTTCCGTGAAGCTTCCCGTCGACTGTTCATCCTCCTCCGACGTTTCTTTTCAAATCATCGCTGAAGGAATGAGATGGACACCAACCCCATCTATCCTACGATCTTACGATCCCAAAGACTCACAATCTCTTCAGCCATTGGTTTTCTCTTCCCTTTTTCAATACTCCATGATCAATCGATGCGCAAGAAAAAAGTCTCTCAACCCCATCCCAACTGCTCTCGACGACGAGAAATAGCGTCGAACATAGTACAAGCATTCGTCAGTACTATTTAAATATCGGTACCCTACAACCCTCAAAGAACGATCTTATTATAGGAATAGCCTTGAAATAAGAAGATGTAAGAGTAATTATTATCACTAATAAAAATCAAACCAAATACTATTTCCAATTCCACTCTTCGGTGAAGACGACGTAATCGCAACATGTATGATGACGTTAAAGTGCTAAATACTCTTATGATCTATGATCTATTCTCGCTCATCAACAGAGCTGTTGTATGTCTGAAAAGGGATGCGATCAGACGGCATGACACACGTAACTATCACAGAAGTCTTCACGTAAGATTATTAAAACTGCAGTCTAATAGAAAACCATTAAAAAGAATTTTCAATTGGGATCAAAACACCTCTTTCACCAAACAGCCTCATCTCATACACATGACATCACAAACAAATATGTTTCTCCCCCGATGGACAAATTCTATCCTAATAGTATCATCCCATTCACCATATATCATATTGATATTCTCAAATTTCAGATTTCCTATGTAAAGAGTATGTTGCAAAAGATCCCCAACGCCACAAAAGGGATATATCTATGCCCAATCCATTTTCCCATCATCATGCATGCAATGCGAAAAGTGAAGTTATATTTTCTAATTGACTAATCAACTAATAATCATCACCGCGACTGATCACCTCTTTGCAGTTTGGCCTGAGGACGATTGTCTATTTCTTGTTAGCGATGTTTTTTTTTTTCAACAGGGGATGGAAGGGCTTACATGTTCAAATTGCGCGGTGTAAGAGCCCTTTTTATCGACAAGAGGTGGGTAATCTTGCACGATACCATGGGAGACTAATGCGTTTAACTGCTTTTGTTAGATATTATGCTAGAAGTGTGGGTGAATCCAAACTCACTCCGAGTAGATATTTATCTTGGCCTAAACGATCCAAATATCTTCTGCAGAAAGGTAAGGTACCAAAGTTCTTGTTGATAACATTAAGAAGTTTGCCAGCCGATGCGATACGTAATGGAACGTTGGGGGCATCAGCAACCTTAGCATAATGAGAACATTCGAGCTGTGACTGATTAATATCTGTGACCAGGTAATTCTCATGCATGGACTTACATCATCTCTAACATAACCATTTCCAGTACTTCCGAAAGTTTCAATAGCGAAAACCTCCCCTTCTTCCATCTTTGTCTGGTCATTGCTCTTAACAATCGGGACACTCTTTCCACCGTGGATCTTCCATTGTAGAATATCATGACCATTCAAGTTTCTAATCGGCTTGACTTGATAAGTTTGACCCTTAATCTCAACCTCGTAACTCTCCATTGTCTCCTGAATATGCTCGCCAATTTCTCCCAATCTCGCATCAATTCCGGCTTCCTTGATTCCGGTATTTGTAGCTTGCTTAACCGCCTCGAGAAGATTATCGTACATGGGATCAAATGCAATAGTAAAAGCACTGTCCACAATTCTACCGTTGATGTGAACTCCGAAATCGACTTTCATGACATTCTCATAAGCCAAAACGGTCTTGTTTCCAGCGTTTGGACTGTAATGAGCAGCAATGTGGTCCAGGTTGACACCAGTTGGGAAAGCGACACCACCCTTAATATTATCTCCCTCTTCTAATCCAGGGTGACCAGTCAAAGCTCTCACACTATCCTCGATTCCTTCCGCGATTTCCGTCAAGGTCTGCCCGGGCTTAATGTTGGCTTTAGCGTATTGTCTAACCTGTCTATGAATCTCGGCACCCTGTCGATACTCCTGCAAGAAATCATTATTCATGCGATCCAAATAACGCTTCTCTTCGCTGGTAGTTCGATAGTTATTTTCGTCTCTATATTCGACTTCCTCTCCAACAGGGTACTCGCCGCTTGGAAAAAGGTTCGACAGGAGAACTCGTGGAGGCGACGATTGGACTTTAGGGTTCGCTCCAGCCTTCTTCTTGGGCTTCTTCTTCCTCTTCCTCTTCTTCTTTGCTCCTCCTTCTCCGGCACCTTCGCCATTTACTGGCTCCTCTTCATCGTCATCTGAATCTTCGGCCTCAGCTTCCGGTTGCGCGTTTCCGTTTGCCTTTGCTTCTGCGGCAGACTCCATTACAGCATTAGGGTCCTTCACTGTACATTTTGTTAGATCATATTCCCAAGAATAGAGAGTTCTGGCGCAATCCCCCAAATGAGGGGTTGATTTTTACTTACCCTTCAAATTCTTCAATGCATCAGTAACCTGTGCTGCCATCTTGAATCACCTTATAACAAGACCCTCGAGTCTTGTTCCCAATGCTACAAATATATGTAATTGACCTTTGTATTAATAACAAAAGTCCAGCTGTTGGCAAAATAATGATTGATTGAAAGAGAAATCTAACAATTGCTTTCCCCGCCAAGGTGGTAATGGGTTAAACGTCGGGAAAAGATGTCTCGGTTAGAAGTAATGTTTTAAAACCCTGTCAATTGGAAATCTATGCCGTCACTGGCATTCCAGGCTTAGTACAGCATGTGTAAAGTTCTCATGGAAGTTCTCTCAATTCATCATTTCTTTTCCCTATAATTCCCCAATTCAATGATGAGGAATGCCACTCTTCTTTCGCCCCTCTCCTTTTGTCGTCCCACGAATTCGACCGCAGCGATTTTCTTTTCATAGTACTGCTATCTACAGAAACCCCGCTCAAAACCACTACGAGACTTTGCAAGTCGCTCCAGATGCTACACCGGCCGAAATCAAAAAGTACAATCGCATCCTTTCTCATTTTTAATTGACGCCAATGTGCTAACTCAGTCTCCTCAAGATCTTTCTACGCTCTCAGTAAAGTCCATCATCCCGATCACAACCCCTCCGACCCCTCTGCATCAAAACGCTTCGTGAAAATCTCCGAAGCATGGGCTATCCTCGGTACCCCAGCCAAGCGACAGGCCTACGATCGAGAACACCACGGTCACGGTCATAGTCATGGAACGGGTCATCGTCCACCACAAGGTTCCTATTCGTCTAGCGGGCCAGCAGGTGGTAGACCGGCTAGCGGGTTGAGTAGACGACGAACCCAGTTTCGTGGGCCGCCGCCTAGTTTCTATAGAAGTGGAGGATGGGGAGAACATAGTGCGAAAAGACGAGCTGCGCAGGATAATGGTGCGCCAGGTGCGGAGGCTCCACCGAAGACAGAAATGGGTGGAGGGATGGGAACGGGTCAGATGCCATGGGGCCCGGAAGGAGATATCCCACACTTTGATAAAAGAGCACACACACAAACACATGATAATGTGGATAGAAGGAGGCGACGTCGGATGAGTGAACATTTCATTCCAGCGGACCGAGAAAGGAGCACCTTCGCGAATTTCGTCATCCTCAGCGCAGTAATATCTATGAGCGTTGCTGTACCGTCGTACATTTATGAGAGGATGACAAGTGCAGGGAGGCCAAAAAAGCTATAGTCACATAAACATTGACAAAAAAATAGACCATAGAATTATCTATCCTTGATGCACACACTTCGGTCAATTACAATAAAGACAGTCACTCCGTTGCAATGCTACAATGCGCGTGCCACAAAAAATGATATCAGAATTACACCTCTATTCTACTATCGTACGGCCAACTCCCAAATCTCGAATAATGCTGCTCTATGACTCGAATGTGAAGCTTGTGCCGATCTTGTGGGTAGCTTGGTCGAGCTTTTGGGTATCGAAGGAGGCACCGAGACCAAGGGTAGCACCAGGTCGGAGAACAACGTTGTAGGCAACAGCGGCAACACCACGGTCGTTGATCTTGACCTATAATTTCGTTGCGTCAGCAAAAGTTTTGGAATATTTCTGCACAAATTGCTTACCTTGGCGAAGGAGAGTGGGTCAAGTCTGTACTTGCTAGCAACCTCGAGACCAACAGAGTTGGTGTTCTTGGAGTCCCAGGTAGCCTTGGCACCAGCCTCGACTTGAGTGTTGACCTTGTGGTAGTATGAGGCGGAGAAGACGCTCAAGTTGTCAGCAGCAGTGATGGCAGCACTGTAAGTGGGGGCAGTGTATCCAACAGCGGCGGAGTAGCTGGTGATAGCTGCCTTTTGGACATCATAACCAGCGGTGGCACCAGCCAAGAAACCATCTTGTCCGATAACAGCGTCAACGGTGGCAGTTGGACCCTTGAGGAGATCGAAGAATGCGCGTCCGTGGAAGTTTGGTTGCTTGAAGTGAAGGTTGACCTTTGCGCCCTTCTTTTGGGTGGTAGGAGCGAAAGAACCGAGAATCTCAGCCTTGAGACCCTTGGCAATGGTGTCGTTGATCTCAATCTTGGTGTCGAGAGCGTTGAGAGTGTTCCATGTTTGGGTAAGAGTCAAGCCTGTTCCGCCGGCATACTGGATTAGTAACTGTGCACAACCGGGTTGTCTGATGAGAAAGAAACCAAATGGACTATGAACGGGGAAATATTGTAGAATAGATTGATTAAAATATATACCAGTTGGCTTGTCTGTGAACTTGGCCTCCAACTGCACACAGGAAACTGTCCATCAGCGTTTGTCAAAAAATTAAATTATTTCCCATGTATTCGTACCAGACCACTTGTGGCATTGTCGTGGGTGCTCTTTCCAGTCACTTTGAATGCGACATTGTTTGGAGTATTCGACTTGACCTCAAGTGCGGCAGCAGTGAGGTGGTAGAAATCTTTGTTGAGCAACTGGTTGATATTGAGGTTAGCTTCAAATATTTTGCAAACATGCGCAGCTCTAGAAATATCTTACATCGTTGGACGCCTTGGCGATATCAGTGAAAGCTGGGACAGACATGATTGAAGGATTGGAAGAACTGAATTGATTGAACTTTGGGGATGGAATTCGAGAAAGTTGTACAGATACGGGAGTAAATGAGGATGAAGTTGAAGAGGACGTGGTTTTTTGTTCCCTAAAGAATTTCGAATCGTGAGGAACCAAGCGGCAGAAGTCGGACATGCAACGTGGGATTGTTATTGGTCCAAATACTCATGTGCCTCCTTCCATATGCGACCCCCTGTAAACGACTTCCATTCATGGTTCCGTCTTATGCAACAAAACATCTTTCACCAAATGATGAAATCTCTCTCGTTCAACAACGCAAAAACGAGAAGGATGTTACAAGATCGATCATTTTCACGTCTTGAAGTGGAATTGGATTCGTTCAATCTTCAAATACACCTCAGAAATTGACGCCATATGATATTTATCTGTTTGTTTACATCTGCAAGCTCGATTCGTAACTTTCTACGGCAATGGAGAGCGAAGTCGGTGACATTGAGGGGTTGTGAAACAATTCGCAGCTTGTTACTAGCATTAGAAGGAACCCGCAGTGCTCATTCATCAATACCCCAACAAAATCAAAGTATATTTAAGCCATAAAATAACATCAAACTCAAAATTCCCAGCACAGACTCAAACCGTTAATTGTGCATAAGATGGAATTTCGTGGGGATTCAACTATCTACTAGGTAGGTATCTATCAATGGTTTCATCCTTCTATCTAACTCCACAATCTTTCCACTTTATTGGTAGCTCAAATTTAGAGTCCAAAAGATGCTCGAAAATTAGTGGCTATCATTTTTGTAACCTTTCAATAGATACAACATCCTAGAAGGAGAATCTTCACACTACAATTACTCGTCGTACTTTTCGTTGTGGATGGCAATAGCTCTTCCACTGGGGTCGGTTTGTTTAGACCAAGTTGGGGTCCATCTCATAACACTCTCTGCACAAGATGGTGGGAAGTGCTCGTCGAACATTGTTCGGTACCAGTAACTATTACTCTTGTTAGTATTTCGATTCTCGTTGGATAGGGCAAATAACTTACGCTTCCTTGGTATCTGGAATATCGGATCCCCATTCAGGCTTGGGGTTCTTCATCATCTCATCGGTGACGTGTAGCTCAGCGTTATCCTTGAGAGCATCGATCCATCCGTAACCAACACCGTCACTGAATTGCTCCTTTTGTCTATAAAGAATGTGTTCTGGGAGGTATGGTTTCTGACTTGGATCATCTGATGTGTCAAAAGCCTTTCGGAGAATGTATTTCTCAAGACGATCTTTGGTGATCATCTTCTCTTGTGGGTCAATGTTCATGGAAACTTCGAGGAATTTCTTGTCGAGGAAAGGAACACGAGCTTCCAATCCCCAAGCGGAAGTCGACTTGTTGGCTCTCAAACAGTCAGACAAATGTAAGTTTTTGATTCTGCGGACGGTCTCTTCGTGAAGGGCTGCCTTATCTGGTGCAGCGTGGAAGTATAGGTAACCTCCAAAGATTTCGTCACTACCTTCTCCACTCAATACCATCTTGACACCCATAGCCTTGATCTTTCTCGAGAGAAGGAACATAGGAGTAGATGCACGAATAGTTGTTACATCATATGTTTCCAAGTGGAAAATAACATCAGAAAGCGCGTTCAAACCATCATCAATGGTGAAAGTCATGTCATGATGCTTGGTACCAAGGAACTTGGCAACTTCTTTCGCGGCCTTGGTATCAGGGGAGTTTGGTAGACCAATAGAGAAGGAGTTAAGTTGAGGAAGGTAGGTGAGAGTCGACAATTTGTTATCGTCATCAATACCAACAAGTCCTTCTCCTTGGTCCTCGTTAGCGGTTGGTGTCGCAGTTCCACTTCCGCTCTCAATTGCAGCTAGCGTAGCGGCTTTCAGGCGTAGAGACTCTCTTTGAGCGATGGCAGCCACCAAACTCGAGTCGAGACCTCCGGACAACAAGACTCCGTAAGGAACCTCAGCCATGAGACGCTTGCGAACAGACATTTCAAGTGTTTCTCTCAAAAGCTTGTAATCAATTGGGGTTGATGGAACGTTCTTTGGGTCCCACCAAGATGGCTCGAAATACCTTGTTGTCTTGTCGGTTTTTGAGTCATAAACATGTCCTGGAGGAAAAGCAATGATTTTGTCGCAGACAGGGTGCAGACATTTCAGTTCAGATGCAAAGTATACGGCTCCTGGTGTCTTGCTCGACCATCCTTGGTAGAAACTGGTAATGCCAATGGGGTCGCGTGCAGCAATTGTGCGGTCTTGCTTTTTGTCGTATAAAACAAATGAGAACATTCCGTCCAAATGTTTTGGCGCATCGATATCATGTTCCATGTACTAACGAATATTCAGTCACGGATCCAACTTTTTCCTTCGAATTTCTCACCAGTGGTATTATGACTTCGCAATCGGAATGTGTCTTGAAGTGGTATTGGTTCTTGAGTCCCTTACGGATGACTCTGTGGTTATAAATTTCGCCATTGACTGCGAGTACGAGGGTATCGTCTGCGTTGGTGATTGGTTGCGCTCCACTCTCTAGATCATTGTCAGTTCATGAATATCAAGACAGATTTCAGCGGTGAAAACTTACCAACGCCAACGATACTCAAACGCTCATGCGCAAGAACTACAGTCAATCGATCAGCCAAAGCTCCTACAAGACCAATTTCCCTAGGCGCAACGTACTTGTGTTGTTGGAAATAACGTTTCCACCTAATTATCATCATCAGTCTCAAGTCCAAACATCCCTTTTTACCATAGGTGACTCACTCCAATCTGGTCCACGATGACGAACTCTAGATTTCACAGTCAGCTCTCCATTCCCAGTTCCCTCCTTCGAACAGAATTACTCACTGCTTCGCCATTCGCAAGGCCGTAGGCTTGAAAGCCTTAACATCTGGGTGACTGTACAGTTGTCAATTCTCAAAATCCATCGCGGGGCCCCCACTATCATTAAAAAATCGCACTCCCAATTGTGAAAGAGACAATTGATACATACCAATGACAAGCAAAAATACCACACATCTTGAATTCGTATATGTAAATCCGTTTAATGTGAAATGTAAAATAAGTTCTTCTCAAGAAAAGATGTTCAAAAAATGGGAGAGAAGATAGTTATGTACCCAAATAAAAACTGCCTGTGAGTAATAGTTTCAATGCTCAGTGGTTTTGGTATGTGCATGACTTCCCTTGGCTCCAAAATATTACAAAATTACCTTAGCTCACCTGGGCATGGGCCGATAGTCGGATGTATATTGTGGCAAGGATACCGAAGGTGCATTATGTGGCTTGAGCCCTTTATTTTTACTGATAGCGATTCGGTAGAACCAATAATGTTACAGCATTGCTAATTTTGGTGTCAATTGCCTTTGGGTGAGTAACAGCTAGCTGTCGAGGTTCTGGAATTTTGTGATATCTTTTTCTATAGGAAATTGCTTGGCGGTGTATCTGGAATGCTAGACCATGGGCACATATGGATGGATCGATGGACGCAAGTAGCTTTCTTCACGAGGTGACTCAAAGGACAGAGGAGAATGGGACCTAAGTCATAACACAACAATCAAGTAACGAAAAGGTGGTGTAGATTGAAAAAGCTCATTTTCTTCATTGATTTTCCCATGTCCCATTGAGTAGATACTCTAACTCATCTAGGGTACTCAGTAAATGTCTTTGACCAAAGCGCTGCATCAAAGTAAAAGTATTTCCTCTGCTAGGTACGCCCGTATTGATATCCCCTTATGCTTTGAAAGATTATGTGCCCAATGAACGCCAATACTTCCCGCCAAATAAACCCGTCGCCTTACTACCGCATTTGCATTTCCTTGGTTCCCCTAAGGAGCTGGGTTATCTTTTACGATGCGCTTGATCTTATTCTCGTACGCGGACTTGTCCTTCTTGAAGAGATTGTAGGCATCTGCTTGAGCAGGAGAATCAGGGTTGGGGGTATCGAGAAGTTCTTGGATGCCAAGGAGGATTTGCTTGATGGTGATGGCAGGCTTCCAGCCTTCTTCTTCGTTCAAAATCGAAAGACACACTGTGCCAGAGGGATAGACGTTGGGGTGGAAGAGGGGTGGTGTAAATTTGCCTGGTTATTTGTTAGTTCAGATCGAGTGCCAAATATGAGAGTACTTTGGAAGTCGCATACACTTTGGAGGTTTGGTTGGGTATTCTATGAATTGTAAATTAGCGCAAATCTATAACTATATTGTGGATGACAGTAAAAAGACTCACCATCTGGAAAGATAATGTTCAGCTTGAAAAGACCTCCCTCCCATAGTGTACCAGCCTTGCCAGGTACGCCGCAGTCCCAGATCTTCATGTCAATAGTGTTCGTGGCGGGGTTGCGAATAGGCTTTGCAGAAAACCCAAATGGATGGTCCTTTCGCCATTGCTTACTGTAAATCCCATTAGACTTCGTCCTAGATTTCTGAACTGTGCACGCCTTACCGTTCCTCCGTGAGACGATTAAGACAGAGCGTCATTTTGAAGATGAGGCTAGATTTTGTTCAGGAAAGCGCAAGTCAGACTTTGTGATTGGAGAAGACTTTGTTAAACTGGCTATTGATAAAGACCAAGAGCCCAAAGAGTTAACGCGACCTTTTGTATTTCTACAAATGCAGAAGAATGAGTTGTTATGGAAAGGTTTGGTGGTTGCTAGCTACGAGGCTCAAGATTCGTTAATTTATGAAGCGTCCAGACAAGGCAAAAGAAAGAAGTACAATTCACTAGCTCGGAGGACCCCCACTATCAACAATGCCCGACATCAGAATTGACAGCCTCGGCCTAGTAGTCTTCTCATCTCATGATCTTCATGCCTAAATATACGTCGCGAGACTACCTAGGTATTTTAATTCTTAGAACCCAATATCCGAATATATAAGGTCCGAGTTGTCGTCGAACATCAGTTTATCTAGACAATACCGTTTCCGGCGCAAATTATACCCCGCACTTTCCACATACTGGCCGTATTCATTTCGGCCTGCAGAAGAATACCCACCTTTGAAGATCCCAGCAAAGGATTGATAGAGTTTCCTCTAGCATCTATTAAACATGGAGTCGAAACCTGGGGATCTCGCGGGACTGGCAGAGTCCTCGACAAAAGCCTTGGTTGGCGAATCAAGTACAGTTTCTGAAACACAGGCTGCGGATGCTACTGCAGCGTGGGAGGACGTTCCAGATCCGGACGAGGATGATTTAGATGATCTAGATGGTACATCATTTGATCTAATGCTAGATATGAAAATGAGGTTCTGATGAATTCTTAGATATGCTGGATGAGTTCAACGCTGCGAAGCCAGAATCGAAAGCACCAGCACCAACCTCCACAGCACCAACCACTGGTCCTGAGAAATCACCCGTCGCGGACGATCCTCTTGACGGCGGTGAAGGACTCACTGACGATGATTTCGCAAAGCAGTTACAAGCCGGCATGGCCGAACTAATGGGAGAACTCGAGACATCACCAGAAATGCAGGCACAGTTTGAAAGTATGCTGAAGGAGATGGGTGGATTGGGGGAAAATGGACCAGCACCTCCACCGCCATCTGCGCCAAGACCCGGGCCTTCGAAGACCAAAGCCGCCCCAGGTTCAGCTGGCGAGGAAACATTCCAGGAAACTATTAAGAAAACGATGGAAAGAATGCAAGCTTCTGGGGATCAAGCAACAGCTGCTGCAGCAGAGGACAACTCGGACGATTTACTGGCGGAGATGATGAAGGCTATGGGAGCTGGTGGTATGGACGGAGAGGGCAGTGAGGAGGATTTCTCGAAAATGCTATTGGGTATGATGGAGCAACTAACTAATAAGGAGATATTATACGAACCGATGAAGGAATTGGATGACAAATTCCCCGCGTGGTTGGAGAAGAACTCTGCCAGTACTCCCGCAGATGATCTAAAGCGATACAAGGAACAGCAAGTTTTTGTCAGGGAAATTGTCGCTAGATTCGAGCAAAAGACTTACAAGGATGAGAATGCTTCGGATCGAGAGTATATTGTAGAAAGGATGCAAAAGGTGTGTATCAGCTGTCGTATCATATCGCGGGGCGCTGCTAATTATTTACAGATGCAAGCAGCAGGCTCACCACCAGCAGATCTGGTTGGAGATATGGCTGCAGCGCAAGAAGCTTTTGGGGCTCCAGAAGAAGGCTGCCCAACACAATAAAATACCCATATCTTAGTGATAGTAACTCGTGTATATTAACAAACCAGTGATACCATGACCAATAATCTCAAAATCAAAGACCAAATGGCTCGATCCATTTACCATACCAAAACACCGACCAGGCCCTAGCCGTTTGAAACACCAACGCTAACAGCAAAATCCTCCAATTTATCATAAACAATGTCGTGTCAATATGTATCGGTATGTACCATTATGTGCCACAATCAACTCATCTCCGTATCCATCATTTCATGGTCTCCTGACATATCCATGGATTGGCTGTCTTGGTACGAGATATATGATTCCTGTTGTATAACGTCCATGAAAATGGCATCGTAATCACCATCGTCGCTACCAAAGTGCGTATCAGGCGAAGAACTATTGACATGTCGCTCAACATCCATAACAGTCATATTGTGTTGGTTTGAAAGATGTTGGAATTCTCCTCGCGCCCAAGCAGCTGCTTCCTTGTCATCAATTGGACCAATTTCTTCGTCGAGTGTCGAGACATTCTCATATGCTTCATCCAGAGTTTGTCTTCTTTCGGCTTCGGTCATAGATGATAACAAAGCTTCTAATTCTTCTTCCTCGTTCCTTGCCACTTCCTCGGCCATGACCTCATCTGCAACCATTGTTAACCCAATTCCAGCAAACTCATTCATGAATAGAGTCTTAGATAGAATAAGCATACCGAGACTTAAATTTCCAGCACCGTAATCCAGCTGCATATCCTGCTCATCAACATCAACAGCCCAACCCTGCGCATCTCTAGCTTGTCTTTCCGCTCGCCTCCTTTGCTCTGCAATCCAAATAGTTCTCATCATCTCATCATCACCGCCTCTCGCTTTCCACCTTTTATCCTCCGAATCTTCTCTAACTCTTCTCAAGAACAACTTTCTTCGTGTCTCTCTTCCATCGCCTTGTCCATGCAATAACGGATTCGTCTTCGTTATTCTCTTCGAAAACGCACCATCTCTATTCGGTGAGTGTTTGATTGAATTAGAGTGATTTTTGTCAGGACTTGAGGTTTTGGAAGCACCAGATTCAGGTGACATCATTAAACTATTTTGACAATCACCAGCATGCTGTGTCCTCGTTGGTAAATTCGCGTTGCGGGGCTCCAGCGGCGATACGGGCGGAGAAGATCGTAAAGGTGATGAGGATAATGGCGATGGTACATGAGGTGTATAATGGCGTAGTTGCTTGTGTGCGCTCACAGGAGTCTGCAACATACTGAACATGGTGATGGAGTGCTGTGTAGATGGGAATGGAACTTATGATGTTCTTCCATGCCAATTGATATACTAATGAGACAAAACGCGCCTGCAGGCGGACGCGACCCGCGTATATGGCCCGCACCGCTGATTGTCCAATTGGGGTAGCGATTGGTAGAGATTACGTAAGCGGACTCGTTCTAGAATTTTGGTCTGCTTTTATGGTCGCTGCAACCGCAGTTCAGATCAGAGGAACGATGTTGGAATCAATGTTGGAATTTTTGTGTTTAGGCTTCGCTATTTTCCCACGTCATCTGTCTTGCAATCGAAGCACATTTTAATGTCTAATTTGTTGCATCCATCGATGACATTTGCTACATTTATCTGATACTCAACAAGCCAGATATCTTAAAACATCCAGATATTCGAAGTTAACTAGAGGCCTCCCTCTATCAACCTGCGGAGAGCCTCCAACTCAGCCCTGCTGAAGAAATTTCTGCGCTCTTCTGATCAATAACATCACCCAGCTGTCTAGGCATGGTTTTCTCCAACCTACCCTTGCAGAGTGACCATAAAGATGAACCTCTGCACCCAAATTAGAATGGAACTACCTGGATACCGAGCGATATTAACTTTTTGTCAAATTCCTGTCAAATGAAGACTCCCGGGCGCCTGTGGGGGGCGAATTCTCTTGGCTTCTCAGGCGGTTGGCAGTATATTTGCTCTATCGTTGTCCTTGAGAACAGGTCTTCGTACGTAGCCTTCCAACATAGTGTCATGCTTTGGGGAAGCACTTCAGCCCTTCTCAAAATTCTCGCGCACTATACCCTTTATGCAACGTTTGCCGACGTTTTGAGCGTATTTGGCGGTGGTCTGTTGTCTGGCACATGTTTGATTTCTGGTTCATGTCAGAAATTGTGAGATTGTTGGAGACTGTCACTGCCAGTGTGCTGTTGGTATCTTTGACATTCGCTATTTGGATGATCTTCTCATTCCGAATGGGTTCAAGGCTGAGAGGATGGCCTTTCGAAGTGTGAAGTGTAAAGTTGGTAGATGATGGGATGGATTGCATAATGTACAAAATCAACGTCCGGTTTCGTATCTCCTAACTATAGTGTCTACGATCTATTTTCGTACTTGCGTAAGTGGTTTACGGGTTTAGTTGTAAGAGATGCAGCAAATTTACCCACGTTGTATGTATGTATGATATGCTAGAGGGATTGGCTCACTGTTGATTTTCATTGCTACATATACTTGAGTTTTTTACTACTCTCTATCACATACGACCATAGATTGAAGAGAATTGGACAATCTCTATGTTGTTTTGAGACCTCCACCTTCCCTAGAACAATTTCCCAAACTCAATATAATACTGTTCACCAGTTTTTCGACCTGCAAATCTAATATTGATTTTACTTCGATAACTGGTCGAGCTGGTGAACCCATACCAAGAACGAAGTTCCGATTTTCCTTATCGGGCGGGGTGGGGCATTATACATTGGTTACGGTAGCCTCTACGTCCTCTAATTGCTACCCTCTTGGTGAACACAGGTGAACGTAGCCGATAGTCTACCTAGGTTTCCCATAGACCCACTTCTGAATCTTTCGCTCTTTTAATTGGTGATATTTAGCGAGATCTCTATTCTATCATTTCTATCTTCACTTCTATCCCCTACATCTACATCGATCATCGCAGTATCCTATCTATATTGTTATCGTGCAATTATTCCTCCAACTTTTTTATATCCTTCGTACAAAGGTCGGTGGTTACGGTTCCTCGGTATTTGCTGCTTGGGGACACCCTGACACGGTTTGCACCAAGTCGGTGGTTACGGTTCCTCAGTATCTACCGCTTGGGGACACCCTGACGGTACGTACCAAGTCGGTGGTTACGGTTCCTCGGTATTTGCTGCTTGGGGACACCCTGACACGGTTTGCACCGAGTCGGTGGTTACGGTTCCTCGGTATCTACCGCTTGGGGACACCCTGACGGTACGTACCAAGTCGGTGGTTACGGTTCCTCGGTATTTGCTGCTTGGGAACACCCTGACACGGTTTGCATCGCGTCGGTGGTTACGGTTCCTCAGTATCTACCGCTTAGGGACGCCCTGATACTTTCGGCGCCAAAGAGTCAAGGCTGCTCTCCTATTAGCCTGGGTGGGTGGGATACACACATAGTGTGGGATCATTCTTCCCAATACAATTGTTCTTTGTCATCTTCATAGCTAATCATAACTATAGCGCACAATATAGCGGTTCCAATCGAAATACTTGGGCTGGAGAACCTCCTTACGGAGAGAGTATATATAAAGTGGGCTGATGAGGACGGCTGTTGGACACTAGGTTCTTGCATGCCTGGCAACAAAAAGAATGTCGAAATTATTATGAAAGTGGTCTGCAATTCTAAGTCTAAACGAGATGTTCATATACAGTTCTCAATCAAGGTGACCATCAAGATTTCTGGCAAGCGTCATTACATGTATATGTTATTAGCTGTTCCACCACATGGTGACTTTGAATACGCCTCAGAGGATCTTTCGATACAGAAGCTTAATGATTTATCTCATCTTGATGCATCCGCTCTTCACGAAGCCGGTATAAGCAATTTAGAGCGTATTATTGTTTTAAATTTTGATATTCGATTCGCGGGATTTGTGGTTCAAAAAGAGAAGGAATCTACGACTATCTGTCCCTTTCAATAAAACCTCCAGCAAATTGATCCATGCGATTAGGTCTTTATCTCTCATGAATAAATTTAAGGTATATATTAGACCTAGCGATTATGCGCGGCAACATTTGAAAGAAATTCGCGAGTGCTTGTATGATACAAGTGTAGAGGTTTGTGAATCTGATATGAGGAAGATATACTCTCAACAAGACATTACGCTAGTGAACTGGACGCATTTTAAACATAAGGAACCTCGGGATCAACCACCGCCACGATACACCGCCAAAGATACACAGAGGCCGGCGGAAGTGCAGGTTCCCCGTTCACCATTGATCGCATACATAGATACAAAGTCATCACCCAGAATAGACGAAGCTATTATTCCAGTAACACCGAGTCCTGTGCCGGTGTGCCACGGTATTTTCTCGCCTAACCCTGAAGAACTGTCAGATGTCGGAGAAGACTCGCACCTTGATGATTACAAGGATTCAGGACGTATTGAAACATGCCTTGAAATGGAGGTGAACTCGGATGAGGAATACCTCGCCAAGTCCAATGCTCGAGAACTGGATGAAGAATACCTCACCGATATTCGAGAAACAAGCCAACAACCCAGACAAGACGCTACCTCGGAGGCACTTGGGTCAGAATTTAGGGAGTGGCTGAATGCAGCAGCAAAACTAAATCCAAATGTTCTAGAACATAGAGGACTGACTTCCAAATTACTTACTCTTGGTGAAAGTGTCCGTGAGTCTGATATTGCAAAGTTCGATGCTATCAGACCCTGGTGCTCTGCGCTGTTGTTCTACAACCCGACGGATTCAAGCAGCACCTCCGAGTTGCAAGATTCGATGCATCGATTGCTTGTCTCAGATATGGCTGGGCTCATCAAGTCAATCAACACATTTCAACGTGGTGCTGAAATGACTTTTCTGATGGAAGATTTTTTAAAACTAGGTAGTGCTGCTCGTGCAGGTAATAAGGAGCAGTATACATGTTGTAAAGTTGAATGTCAATTTCGGATATTGGTCAACGAGAAGAGCAGGAAAGGCTTGTCCAGGAAAAGGAATATTTCGGAAATTGATAGAAATGTGCATAAACGAATCAGAACAGCGGCGTAAATGTCAAATGAATGTTTATCTACCTTCAAAACTGTCTTTTTGCTAGTCGGCGAAGGCGTTAATGAACCCCAAATGAGAATTTCTGGGGGCGTCAGATACAGTAATGGCAGATGCTGTTGTGCTTCGAGTCACTCAGGACGATAAGGTAAATATTAACGATGAGATGGAAGTTCACAATCTCCATTCCATTCCATTATCATTTATGCCTGAGGCATCGAAAAAGTAAGTGACGTGATATAGTACAGTTGCCTTAGGCATCATTATCGCTTCATAATTTTGAGAGTCACATAATGAAGTACAAATCGTGCCTGTGTGCGGGTGTGTCAAAAATATGCTTATCTAAGCACGAATCGCGCCTAGAGTGGTCAGAAGCATAGGTATTCTTTACATTTTCTAGAAGATATACAATTGATCTTTCACTATATATAGATGCGACTCCGGCCATAGTACACTGTATTATTCGTTTTAAAACTTATTAATTAGATATTGACTAGTTAGATCTATGTTTCTCGTCTTCTCATTCTATTGAATATACCAACCCTTTATCTTCCTCATGTACAAGCGTCTCATGAATCATCTCCCGGTCTGATACAATCTCGCTTGAATCATCACCGCTTTATGGCGTAAGTTCTTCTATACAAATTATTCACACTCTCCAGGTAGTATGTTCCAGGTGCCAGGGAGTTCACATCGCCAAGAGGCTTGAAATCCTTAGCTCCGTATGCATTCTTCCGGAGAGTACAAGCCTTGTATCGAGTTAGCATTTTATCTAAACGGACTGAAAGCTAGAGACTCACCTCTTCGTACTCTTCGGGTGTCGCGATGTATCTCTGGTTAAGACGGTCCATCAAATTGACTTTTTGGACCAGGTCAGTAAGATCACCGGTAATTTTCATGCCAAAAAGTGAGCTGGCAATGCCACTTCCAAACTAGATGGTGGATTCGGGTCAGTAAAATGCTTTGGGAGGTAAAAAGATAAATTTATCTACTCACACTGAACAAGCCGATGGTTTTGCCTTCTGCAGCTTTGAGATCAATGTTGCTTATCAAGCTAATGAGAGAAAAGTACAAACTTCCTGTGTACATATTACCGCATAAAGAAGGGCCAGCAATGCAAGGCTCGACACACTTCTTGAACTCATCCTTCGTGATTGATACAAGAGTCTTCTCCAGCGTCTTGTCCTTGAGAGACTCCGAATAACTCAACTTGCGAAGTTCATCGGGAATACCTTCCCATTCAGCATCATCGGTTGACAAGAGACAGTCATTGTACTTGAGACGACCGAAGGATTTAGACACTAATTTGCAGTTTGGAGTATGGAATGCCATGTAATCAAAAAGTTCAAGGACCTTCTCGGGCACGCTGCTGGGCTCATCGCCGTTGAGTTTGCTTCTAGCCTCAATTCGCTCAAGTAGATTCTTGTGGCATGCATCCAAAGCACCAATGTAGCAACCAATAGATTCATGGCCGTTCACAATAGGAAACTCGACTTTAGTCTCCGGCTTGTAGAAATCATAAGCATGAGTCATGTAGACACCTTTCAAGCCCGGATCAAGGGACAGCAGTGCATTTGGACCAACAAGCATAGCAACACAACCAGCTCCTCCAGTTGGTCGAGAAGCGGCCTCTTTGTAGAGGGCTATATCGGATGCAACAACAATGGCATCTCGACCATCCCATGAACGAGACTCTACCCAATTGACCGCATTGAATAGAGCATTCGTACCACCGTAACAGGCGTGTATTGTGTCGATTCCTTCGAGACTTGTATTACCATGTGGCTCGAATAAAGTGGTGAGAACTGATTTGACTGATTTGGCTTTGTCGATGGGTGATTCAGTCCCGACTTCAAGACGCCCAATAGAATTTGGGTCGATGTCAAATTTTCGGAGGAGTGAAGAGACAGCTGTTAGAGCTAGGGAACAGACATCTGGTAAATTCGTGAGTATTACATGATTACTGAATTGGCTGATGAGTTTTGATGGTACGAACTTACCCTCTCTATCGGTACAAAAGTTCATGTACTGAAGGCCCAATCCAATGGTATATTTACCAGCTGAAACACCTTGATGTTTTTCAAACAATGTTTGATCCAGACACTTTTCTAATCAGCATCATGAAGCGACTTTCGTGGGAGTGCTTGGAGATTTACCTGTGCTGGGACATAGGTTTCCATTGCTTTAATGCCAACATTTTTTGGGTATGCCATTGTGTGACTATTTTAGCCAAAGAGATGTTTGTTCAAGGTAGATTGGAACTATAAGAGAGATGGGAATGTGTCTATTCGAAATTTAAGATTTGAGTGGCCTCTATTAGTAGTCGCCGCTCTCACATATCACTTCTTTCATTGAAGAGAGTTCTGAAGTCGGCTAAGCTTGAAATAGTTAAGCGGCACATGAGGGGGCTTAGCGGTCGTTAGCGCTGACAACGACCTCGTGGAAATACCCTGTCGATGCAACATGTCTTTTCGGATTTGGATCCGCTTTCACTTATAACGTGATGTTGGGTGGTTGAGATATGCTACTACTATCAAAAGGGTAGAAATAGTATTCCGATGTCTGCTTCACATGAGATTATAGTTGAATGAATATAGAAAGTCGGAGATGTGACAGTAAAATTTGATTTCTCTTCTGAGTCTCTCCAATCTACCAAACGCACCATTCCCATTCTCCAAATTCAGTCCATTCAAAAATCTCTCCTACTTTGCTAGAGAATATCATATGCAGATATAAACTTACTTTTACTTGCTGACCAACTTCTTCTTGCACTGCCTTTTGCACGATACACTAGTACCAAATTATATCCTGGATAAGATGAACATCTCTATCTTAGTACATTGCATCATCTAGGAACCGTTTCAGGGGCCCGGCTTACTAATTATCTCCCGAGAGTACCAAACGTCCGGATGAGCGGGTCGGGTTGTGTTTTGCTACACATACCAAAAGGATTTTGCGGCGCATGAACTTGTCCAAAATTCCACTGTGCCTCAGCCATTGGACAATCCCTGGTCCGCTGAATCATCTCATAAGTATTGTGAAATAAACTCGTATGACGTCGCGATATACTTGCTCAAGGGTCAAATAATCCCTGGTCTGCTGAAAGATGAAACTTAAGTGGGGTATTTATCCGAACCCGAGCCCCATAAATTAAAGGGGGAAGATACCCCCGTTATCTTCCCTCCCTCGAAGAGGAAATCATGGAAGTGTGAACCAGTTGATGGACATCTATTCTGCATATCTCCAATCACGTCAAGACTTCTTGAATAATTTGATAGATTATGGTCATTATGGACTCAGTTAAACTGGACACGAAATGAAATTCTAATGCTGTCTTTGTTATTGAGATGAAGAAGGCACAAAAATAGCTCAGTTAAAGAACCTATTACAAAGCTGCAATTGTGCAAAATAAGATATACTTATCGAAGTGGTATTGAGCAGCCAAAATTATCACTGCTCGTCACACATCCTCCAAGCTAGTCCATGAAATGATTGCACACAGATGAATAGTTTACCAACAAATATGCTCAAAACACAGGCATAGTAAGACTCGAACATATATCTTCTGTACTCACGATAAAGTTCTGGAATAACCTGATCTTTTTCTTCATCATTAAGGAGCCCTGTCTATATCTTAGCTACACAAGACAAGTAAATGGCTTTGAAAAGCTTCCTCGAACGTCAAACGCTTGGGAAGTGAGTCACACTCAAGGCGGTTATCTTGTTTTCGAAATACATGCCTGTGATCTGTCTGTATGTTCGTGCTCAGCTTTGGTAATACTTGAGTTAATCTAGTACAATGTACTAACAGTGGGGGCTGGGTGCAAGATCCTTAGGGTTGGAAAGGAACGTCGTGAAATTTGGAAAAAGAGTATCTTCCAGAACACGTGTGAAGCTTCTTTATTTGTAGACTCCTTTGAAAAATGTTCGAATTGATTGAATCTCCTATTCTGGTGACATGAAATGATAACTAACAGGCAAGAGTATGGAGACACGATGAGACTAAGCGAAAACAAGATTAATCAGAGTCGAGAAAGCATATTCCAATGACATATACTGTGTCAAATAGCAGTTGCATTGTAGAGATTTTTTTTCGAGTCTAGAATCCTTGATTTGCAATATTGTATAAAATGTCCCAGAATTTATTTCCGAACAATGTATCCTCACATTTTTGATTCACAAGAGTGTGGTCCATATCGCACGAGACCGTTTAGAGCTGTCAAGTTATGGACAGATGAGACAATCACTTTTATTTTGACAGTGCTGCTGAAGCCGGAAATGACTAGACTATCACTTTATGCACGCAAAATATTTGCGAGTTGACCTTCAGCCTCGTCTCTATATCACACTTCGCATAGTATGCGTTTTACGTAGAGCATACTTTCTACCATTCTTTGTTTGATGTTTGATTTTAACATGCTACATTATATTACATGACTAGGCGCCCCCGTCATACAATTTTTTGAAAAAAGTCTCGCGTGATTCATGAAATGAAAGAAACAGATAGACATTTCTGATTGTCAAAAGCCCATCCAAACATACATGTATACTAAATAAGATCCATTTCAATAGAAACCGTTAAGCAGATAAATGGCAAAAAATGGAGATGGATAGAATCGAACTATCGCCTCATGTTCTAAAGGTGAAGTCACTACTCATAAGAGCTGCTCGAAAAGCACATACTCATGAGTTGCCCGAAAGACGCGCAACTTGGCTCGGAAAGCCCACTTCATGACATTTGTCTTACCACTGGACCACATCCCCAATATATCAATATGACTTTCTGGCCAATACCTATTCATATGCCACTGGAAGGAGAAAAGTTTAAAACTTTCCGCTTGATCATCTCAGAAGCAAAAAAACGAAACTATCATCTATTTGTGAATACAAACGTTCCACCCTTTGATATCAGCAAAAAGATAATAGTAGAGATGGATAGAATCGAACTATCGTCACCTGTGCTCACGGCAGGGTCAGGACCCGCGCGTCCCGAAAGACCGCGCTGGCTCATCCGACCCAAACTATGTGACAGATGTCTTAACCACTAGACCACATCCCCTTCAGCTTTGATATCCTTCCTTGGCTTATGTTATCCTAAACAACTTGGTGGCTTATATCCATAATAAAGGGAAAAGGGAAAGATTGAAGCACCCCGTGGGTCTATTAACTTGCCTTAAAAGGTAAATTAAATCGGTAGCCACGCAATCCCCACTCTCACCCCTTCCTCCACCTTATACTCCTCATTCCCCTTCTTCATACCACTTTCTATCCTTGAATCTCTCCCAAAATTCAGTCTCATGAGAAAGAAAAAATGAAATAGAGATGGGCAGATTCGAACTACCGTTAAATGAGCTCACGGCAAATCTTAGAGAACCATGCCGAGTCGCTGCTTGCGCCTTCGGCCTCTCTACTCCAAGATTTAATTTTGAGTCAGACGTCTTATCCACTAGACCACATCTCCTTTCTGAATCTGGTTGGTATGTCGAATGTTCATAAAGGTGTATCAACTGTACAAATGATAGATTCTGGGATTTTTCCACGCTACTAATGCAAGATTTCGCCTTGAAAGGTCATAATTCCACAGTCCCATCAGTTTAGAACTCAAGATTAAGCGAGCTTGACCCAAATACCTCGGTTTGTGTTGTCATGAGGCTTATGATCTCAAAGACATCACGAGGTTGAAACAAAGATGTTTTGGTTTGCGCAGTTTATCAGAAGTAAGATTACATCAAAGGTTACAGACGGAATCTAATTCTGTTCCTTAGAGATAAAAAATTTAACTTTAAATGAAAATTGAAGTTTAGAACTGCAAGTCCTGCTGGAATATCTTTCTGTAGAAGGAGATAATAAAGCATTTCCTCAGCTCCCCACCCAAAGCATACTTTCCTCGCTTCTTAAGAGTAGATCAAGTCTCACCATTCCTAAGCATACCCTTCTCTTTCTCGACCCAACTGTCAAAAACAATAGTCGAGAAATATATAATATTATGCACTCGCTAATAGCCACTTACCCCAGAAGCAATTTGTCGGTCCTGATTTTGTAGATGATAGACCAAATGGGACAAGATACCGAACTAATTCTCCAATCCACGAAAACACTATTGAGAAAGGATTTCGCTTCCTGCTGTATTACAGAAACTTGTAATTTCTCAATTTCTTTGTAATGTTCATTCTTGTGACTACTACTGCTGCAACAGACACCGCGAAGCCGAGCTTATTTAGCATAATAGAACAATTTTGAGATTAAGTGATTTCAGAGAATAGGTTTGCACAGCTAGCCCGCAGGTATTGTGGGATTTTGAAAGATCCACCACTTGGCATTGATGTACATTCTACAGCTGTCGCAATCGATTAAGTATTCATAACAGACTCGTGTAGTTATTATCAGACGCTATAGATGAACTTATACTATTATACCAAGCAAGTATCGTGTATTATTAATTCGAAGATGTTCCTGTTTCTAAAAATAATCCTCCCTCTCCCTTTGCCTCGGTGATATATAGACGTCTGAATAGGGCGAAGGATCTTGAGTTACAAGTGGCCCCGTGAGTTTCTTTCTCTTCATTGTGTACCTAACGAAAGTCTCATCTTTGTTATGATCTTTACCAAATATGGCAAGTGCCTCTTCATTTTCGACGGGTGAGGTGAAGATATTCCACCCAAGATTCTCCATGAATTCCGTCTCAAGGACTCGTTTATATGTCAATCCTTTCCAGAGAACCTCCACTGAACGCTTCATAGAGCGGGTTGAATGAAGCTCTAGAAACTTCTCTATCAAGTTTGGCAGCTCCATGCGGTGCCATTCATTGTTCGGGCGTAGCTCATTGGGTTCAACGAGACCAGTCCTTCCACCAGGGTAAGATGCACTAGTTCGCATGATAATAGTAACTTTCTTGTTAGAGACCTGCTGTCCTAACAATACAAAACATCTTCCACGATCGGGTTGATGTTGTCGACGAAGCCATATTTGAAACCATCTATGGGGGTGGCAAAGTATGGATGCCTAAGGTATACTTCCTCACCTGAAAACCTGAAAGGTTCCTGCATACGCTCTCCACGGGAATTTTGCCACATTTGATCGGGTCGCTTGCCACACACCTCCAGAATTGCAAGAGAATTTCGATTTTCAATGCCAATGGTTTTCAGCCAATGAACAACAGGATCCCAGTTATGATCTCCCTCGAAAGCAAATGTGTTCTTGTTGTAGAAAACTATGGCGGCTTCATGGCTCACCACCTTACTACAAAACAAGAGTTTGACATTGAGAGTGGAAAGACTAGTGGTTGTCTCCTCGTGGCTAACGGCTCGCCATCTTATAAGTGCGGTAGGCAGCGACCAAAGTCGTTGTGTCCCCCTATATATGGGCAACCTTTCTTGTGTCATCTTGCCTTTCTAGACAATGATATTTGATGTTGATACCAGGGTATAATGGTAAATGATATCACGGATCTCTCTTGGAAGAGAGAAGAGTGTGAGAGGGGGAACATTGCGAGGTGGACGAGGGTGCCAAAAACCTGGAGGAACATATCGAACTAATTCTTTGCAGGTATCTTGCTCCACGATATTGCAATTGTACCTTCAAACTCGTAGATCAACTTATGATTAATCGAGACGTAGGTCGAAATGTATCTCAGCTGAGAAACGAGAGTAGCACACTGAGATGATGACAAAGAATTGGCACGCACGTGTCCTCTCGAGGCGATCTAGTAAATAGCGGGTCTTGAGGCACGGGCCACTCAACTGTCACCCTTGAGCCATGAACCCCTTGTACCCCTGAAAATCGATCCAAAGAACAGTCCACCAAGCTTCGAAAAGGGTACGAAACTAATCTGGTAGCGAAACGTAGTCTCGAAGGATCGGTGAATATTATTTATCCAGTTTCTCAACTTCAAAACACCTTTTATCTACAACACCACGCCACCATATAGCCATATCACGAAAAAGTTGCTAAGAGTGGCCTCACAACAAGTTTTTTCATCATGCCGCCGGTAGCTACTTCTACGATCACAACCTCGGGATCAACCACCCCACGATTAAGAACCAATGGAGCAGGTGTTTCAGAAAAGAATGAAGATGCCCCTCCACGACAAGATATCGATGTGAAAGAACATGATTTCTTTTGGACATATACCGAGGAACCTCATCGAAGCAGACGTTTAGCTATTATCAAAGCTCATCCAGAGGTAATTATCCATCTCAATTCCCTATTATCATCTCTCAATCAAGAATAGATACTAATCCCCTCCCCACAGGTAACTAAACTTTGCGGACCTGAGCCCCTCACTAAATATGTCGTTCTCCTCGTCGTATCAATCCAAATCCTCTGCGCCTACCTCCTCCGCAATACACCTTTCCTCTCCTGGAAATTCTTCCTCACTGCCTACATCATTGGCGCAACCGCAAATCAAAACCTGTTCCTTGCCATCCACGAAATATCCCACAATTTGGCATTTAGAAACCCAACCTTGAATCGGGCACTGGCGATTTTTGCAAATCTACCTATTGGAATTCCTTATTCTGCTTCTTTCAGAGTACGTTTACATCTATCAAACCCCTCCAATTTTCCAAAAACTAACAAAATCCCCAGCCATATCATCTTACCCACCACAAATCCCTCGGCGTCGACGGTCTAGATACCGATCTCCCCACCCGCTTTGAAGCCCTGTTCCTCGATTCCCTCCTCGGAAAAGCCTTCTTCTGCACCTTCCAGATCCTATTCTACGCCATCCGTCCCATCTTCGTCTACGCCGTCCCCTTCACCTCCATCCACATCTTCAACATCTTCGTGCAAGTCGTCTTCGACATCCTCCTCGTAAAATCAACCAATTCTTACAACTCCCTCTACTACCTCATCCTCTCCGCCTTTTTGGCCGGTTCCCTCCACCCCTGCGCCGGACACTTCATCGCCGAGCACTACGTTTTCGAGCGTCAGCCCCTCGCAGCCCGCGACCCCAAAACCGGTGTCGAAATCCCAGAGACGTTTTCTTATTACGGTCCTCTCAATTTCTTCACCTACAATGTTGGACTGCATAATGAACATCATGATTTCCCTGCTGTTCCCTGGACACGTTTACCTGCCCTGCATGAAATAGCCAAGGAGTTCTATGCAGAGTTGCCCAGACATGAGAGTTGGATTTATGTGATATGGCAGTTTGTGTGGGATAAGGAGGTTGGAATGACTTGTAGAGTTAAGAGAAAGGAAGGAGGAAGAAAAGTCGGAGGTTGGACGCAGCAGGAGGTCCAGGCTTAGATTTCGTCTTTTTGTTTTCTTTTAGATGTGACATGAGATGAGATTCGAGTTTTAGAGGATTCCTTCTACGAGTGGAAGGAGGGACATAATCCTTGATTTGAATTTGTATATACGATTATGAGATGAGATGAGTTATAGAATGCATTTTTCGGCGTACGCACACATATACATATACATATTTCTTCAAATATACAAGGCACACATGATATCAATTGTCACTTCTGCAATTGTCTTTTACAATTTAATTGAGATTTTGTACCTTACCTCACCAACTACCTACTATGTATCAAACGTAACTCGCTATCATACCAGCACTTCATTGCCTACTCGCTCTCTCTCGCTACATACATCCGATACCATATTACCGATTTGGTTCATTCCAGCATAGCCCAGCCCAGTCCAGCCAGATCCAGGTCTTCTGGCCTCTTTCCCATCTCTCTTTCCTTCACCCATATTTTTTCGGGCGAACGCTTACACGGAAGCCTCCACGCACCGCAACAAAAGAAAGAAAACGTAAAGGAAAAGTAACTTTGTCAAAAGGCTGAACTCGTCTGAAAAAAAGCAATAGAATACAGGTGGTACATTCGTAATGCAAAAGCTGTGGCGAGAGGAAATCGAAAAAGAAATGAAAAGAAAGAAAAATCAACAGCAAGGAAATGTAAATTATTGGAGGCATCGTCGTAAAATTAGAGGGTTCTTCTCTTGTACTTATACTTTCACAAAAGTACAAGAAGAAGAACGAGGTCTAGAACCCAAGAAACCAGTACCTAAGAGTAACAGCACCCGAGAGCACCAGACACCCAATATTGATTATTTCGCTTCGTGTCTGTCCTCTTATACAATAATGGAAGAGAGAGGTGCAACGCTATAACCCATCAAAGCCAGAAACCACAACCCAAAAGTCAGAATGCGAGCAGACAGGCATACCCAACTTTAGATCAAAAGAACAGGTATGCGAGTAAGAAGCTAAGCAAACATAGAGCTGCGACGATTTGTACAGGTACACCTTCTACACCTTGCAACTTGGTAGCCATTTCATTGACCGTCTCATTTGACGTTTCCCCATTTGCCACTTTTCTCATTCTCATACCACCTTGTTCGGCGTAGGATGCGATAGTTTTCTTCGCTTCGATGAGTTGGGCTTGGAGTTCTTCGACGGAGGTAGGCATTCCGGTTGGGGCGGTGACTGCGGATGCATTACTTTCTCTGCTGGTACTAGCTGCGGGGTTGAAAGCAGAAGAGCGAGCATCGCCGAGGTTGCGATTGCCGATTGGCTCGTCGTTGATACTGACGGAGGGGGCTGGGCCTGAGTTTCCTGGTACGACACGGTTTGCTGCAGGGGTGAAATGTTCTTCGGGAGATACTGATCGATAGGCTGGAGGGGCAGTGTCTGGGGTTGAAAGCTAGAGATATTGGTGTTAGTCAATTCCGCTTCCTCGGGGATGGTACACAAGGAACCAGAACATACCGCACTATTTGCTCCATTAACACCATTTCTCAAAGGTGTATTGGCTGCTACTCCTGTCGACTTTGGTGGGAGAAAAACGACACGAATCTTCTTCTCTTGGATATCCTTCTTATCTGCTCGGTCGACATGCTGTATGAAATACAGTTAGCGTACGTCCATGTGAGGGAATGTCCCTATAGATTATATATCGTGGGTACTGTACGTTTGAGGGCGAATCGACAAACTCCTTATCTGGTGTGATTTCGACCGACTGAACCAAGAATTTATCTCTGCACTTTGCATCGAGAGGTGGCTCATCCTTCATTGCCTGTAAAAGAACTATGCCAGCAAGATTAGCCCTAGCCACGTACTGCTTGCCATCCTAATCGGCGCATACCAGTGACATCTATGCTTCTTCCCGGCTCCAATTTACCAGAGTTTGGTCGCACGCAGTATCTATTCGCAAGTATTAGAACGATATTTCGAAGGTGTGAGGTGTAGTAGAACCAACTGTTTGGGCGCAGTGGTCTTGACCTGTTGAAAATAGACCACATTAGCACTTGAAGAACGGCCAACGACATAGCAGCAGATTTCCCTACCTTGAAACCAACGGGAGTACGATTCGGATTTCTGATTCTCAATGTTTGCGACACCTCAGTGGTAAAAGGACCTGCCACATGTTAGAATTCCCCATCTCGTGTCTTTCCCATCCTCGGAGGAGAATAATTTATGATAGCGTACGGTGAAAGCCAAGCTCTTGCGAATCGATTTCGACGGACATGATGGGCGTATTACTATTGTTGATTCAAAGTATTCAAAGTGTTTGTGAGGTTGTGGGATTGTGGGATTAAGCCAGAATAATATTTGTAAGTTGAGGAATTATTTATTAGGATGGGGTGTGTTTCGCTCGAGGTGGTTGATATGTAATGACGAGGGTCCGAGAGTGACAAAGAAGGTGATGGGTGGTCGTTTGTCATTCCCTGTTGGATTATTGCGGCCAATACATATGATGATACAGATGATACATAGGTAGGTGGGCAGATGGGTAGATTGGGTAGATGAGGAGAGTCTCGTATGGGTATATGTATATGTATGTATTTGTATCTTTTAAGAAACAGATGATAAATTGTTAAGAAAGGGGTGAATTATCATTGTTATTATTATTATTATTATTATTATTGGATTCGTTTGATTACCTCCAGCTACATTTGATATGATAATACTGGATTGGCATTTTTTATATACTTGGTTTTACGAATAATGCAAAAAATATCATGTCTTAATTTTGATTATAATTATTTTCATGAATTTTCTATTCCTGTCGATCAAACTTTCAATGTCTTCAATCAATAGTCCAAGTTACGTGGTGGGCAATGAATGATCAAGAGTATAATGTGTAGACTCTAGAGTGAGTGAGTGAGTATGAAGTGAAGTATTTGACCAGAAATGGACATCTGGACTATTCGGCGATATCTAGGTAACTCGAGTATATACCTAGCTGCCCAGAGAAGTGTGTGTGTGTGTGTATGTGCGTATGTGTGTGTATGTCTGTGTGTACATACGGGTAGATGGAATTCTAACGTCATCAAAAGATTCATATCTAATCAATCAAATTTATCCTTTATACCAGGGCTAGTAATAAGTAGCAGCCTTTGTGCTATTTGAACGTTCTATCACATTCCGAGTGTGGAGGTGTATAGGCGTGTAGGTGTATAGATACCTAGTATATAGATATAGATATAGATACAATAAGAATACCCGAGTATACATTGCTTCAATTCAATCTAGAACATTCAACTAATCCATTCCATACCTTATTTCTACCTGACTTCGAAGCTTCCTCATTATCATTGATCATCATATATAAATAAATACGGCAATTTACAGAATTCCAGTCAATTAATCAATCAATTAGATATCGAATATCGTACATTCACCCCATATTTAGTGCTTTCTAGTACGGCCCACCCATCATTATATTATTCCGCAGAACCCTGAGCTCTTGCATCTCGTCATAATAATACTCGACATAATATTTCCGATACTCTTGCAAAGACACAACTTCATACAATTAACTCACAATTAAACAAAATACCAAAACACACAGAAAAGATGTCTACACCAAGCGACCTCCAACAACTCCTCGACATGGGCTTCGGCAAGGAAAAGGCCGAAATTGCAGTCAAGAAGACTGGTGGATGTATGTATAAATTCCAACTTGCATATCCCTTGTACGTGATCTATGTAACCCCGCATACTGACCATTTACTACAGTGAACGGAGCTCTACAATGGCTCGAAGACAACCAAGACAAGAGCATCGAAGAGATCCGAACTGCAGAAGCTGCAGCAGCACCAGATTCCGACGAGACAAACCCCAACATCGAGCCCGCGCCACTCAAGGATGGCGAAGAGGCAAAGTCGATGGTTTGCACCGATTGTGGCAAGAAGTTCCGTTCGATGATGCAAGTCCAGTTCCATGCCGAGAAGACGTAAGAGTTCCCTACCACACCTTTTCATACGAGGATTTACTAATACGATCACATAGTCAACATGAGAACTTTGAACAATCTACAGAAGAAATCGCCCCCTTGACTGAGGAGGAAAAGCAACAGAAGCTCGCAGAGCTCCGCGAGAAGGCGAAGGAAAAGAGGGCAAAGCAGGCCCTTGTTGACAGAGAGGAGGCCAAGCGCAATGAGGTTCGTTGCTTACTATTCCTAATTTATCTCTACTCCACAACTGCCCCTCCACATCCATCTACCCCGCATCAAACTAACATGTTATTCTCCACAGCAAATCCGCATGAAGTCCACGAAGGAAGTCTCGGATGCCAAAGAGAAGCTGGCGAAGGACCAACAGATCAAGGAGGCACAAGCCAAACGTGCCGAGAAAGCCGCCGATGTTCAGGCTAAGAAGCGCATCCAAGAGAAGATCGCCGCCGATAAGGAGGAACGTCGCTTGAAGGCCGAAGCTGCCAAAGCTCTTCGCGAAGGTCGTGCTCCTCCAGCACCAGCAGCAGCTCCAGTAGCCGCCCCTGCGGCTTCATCCGGCGCTCCAAAAGTCCACACCGAATCTCGATTGAGATTGCAAACTGCCACCGGGGTCATGACTAAGACCTACCCGGTCGATACCACTCTGTTCGAAATCGCCCAGCAACTCGAGGCCGAGCTCGGTTCGGTGACCAGTTTCACCATGACTTATCCCAAAAAGACCTTTGAAGGTCCAGTGGATTTCGGGAAGACCTTGAAGGAGGCCGGGTTGATTCCTTCTGCTGTCTTGATCGTTAAATAAAGGTCAGACTAGAAGGGGGCATTGGGGAGAGGCTGGTGGCGTTGACGGAACGAAAACATGCATGGTTGGTGTTTGGGCGTGATGGCGTGGAACGATTACATGTAGACTTTATCGAAGATACTATTCTTCCTTTGGAGCATCTTTTATACATAGTACAGTAGGCACTTTATAAGCCAAAAAGCAAAGCGGAATTTGAATATCAGCGAGCATTTTCTAAACTTCATTGCCTTGAATCTATGTGAAGTGTGACCTGGTGAATGATGTTATGCATACCGAGTAACTTCAAATATGAATTTGCCTGGATATCAACGTTTTTTAACTGCCGGGATCCAGAGTAACCTAATTACAACCCCTTATTGCAGCTAGAGTTATATCAGTTTCTTGATCTCCATGCGTATCTACAACAAGTGGACATATAGAACAAAAATTTCATAATCAACAATGCAAAAATAGCACCAATAACATAATACGAATTCTGCGAATAAACATGCCCTATGATATCTCAAAGCACTTTTTAACAGCACAGCCTAACGAATCCTTAACTTAGCCATGATGGGCTACCAACAAGCAAGTGGGCGCAAAAGTGTGCTTGCGCAATGTACAAGAATACCCAGCGAACTCCAGATATAGACAAACTCCGTCATTATGAAAAGTGCCTTGCTTGGCATGTCCATTCCATCCCTTTCCAGCCCATTCTTCGACCCATCATAACGCCTCTGATACCAATCAACAACTATTTTCATTACCACATCGTCGGCTCCGTCACTATCCCTCGTGTACGTATTCCATCCTGCTACAGATGCATTTACTTCGAAATCTACATCCCATTCAACCTCTGTCTCTTCGCATCCCCATTTCCATGCTCATCCCCCGCCATTCCACTACCATTCGTCTGTAAATCCGTCAGCGGAGCTCTATTCGCTTCCGGCATTGGCCTCTTCATCATCGTCGGCGGTTTGTAACTGTTCCTATTTCCCATATTCATCGGACTCGGGCTACCAGGCGCACCAATTCTTCTCGTGGTATCTAATTGTGGATTTCCCAAATTGATATTCCTATTTCCAGCGACAACAGGACGAGAAGCTGGCTGAGCTTGTGGTGGACCAGTAGTAGAAACTTGAGCCTGAGACGCAGGGATAGGTTTCAAGTCGCGGGAAAGTGGTTTGGAAGATTTCTGATCAACTCCTGGGGTACGCCGGATAGATGGGGATTCGAGGTTGGGGTTAAAGGCGGGGAGGTTGAGATTTGCAGGGGGAACTTGGGAGGGTGTGTGGTCTTGAGGAAGGAGAGATGCAGCGCGAGCAGAGGTAAAACCGGCTCCTGGTGGGGGCATTTCATCGGTTATGTCGTTGTTGCGGGATGGAGATGGGGGACCGGATGCTGCTTGGGGTTGAGGTTGAGGTCTATTGGGTTGGTTTAAAACGCGGCCAGGGAACGCGTTAACAAGATTAGAAGGACGGTTGGGTTGGACTAGGTCTTGAGGGGCGCGAACAATAGGTCCTGCTGCGCTGATCGATCTTGCGAGACCTGCATTGGGTGTTCGTGGTGCTGGTGGAGGATGATTATTGCGAGTGATCATTGGGTCACCAGCTTCTGGTGGTCGATTTGGTTGAACTAACGGTCCACTCTTGATTATGGGAACTGGGGGTCCCGAAGGCCCAGAAGTTCGGCTTTGGTTTGGTGGCCCTGTATTCCCCGAGGGCGCATTGTTATTGTTTCTGGCATTGTTGAAATGGTGTGAAGCAGTTCGTGGGGGAGGAAGTGCAACTTCATCTGGGTGAGCATTCGGATCTGCAACGTTGAAATCGGCATCGTCGAAATCTGGAAATCATCAGCAATGGTTTATTTTATGTAATTAGTATCCTTCATACCCCCGAACTCATCATCTCCTATCAATGTGTCATCGCCTAATCCGATCGTTAGTTGTGTATTTTGCCACCGCATTTTCAAAACATACCTGATAAGCTTGTACTCGCCGGTCCAGAACCCTGAGCCTTTTCCGCGACTTTTGGTGCATCGATCTCTTTCTTCGCGACTACTTGTGGAGTAAAGGTTGAATGTCTGTGTAGATTCTCAACGTCCCACTTGACAGGCTGGACCTTAATCTTCGTGACCTTGGCCAGATAATCCTTATCATATATGCAATTACCCAACACATTCCCAAAGTTTCTCAATGCCCTCTTCAACCCATCTGTCGTCCCCTCTTTCTTCGCCTTCTCAAAAGCCGCCGCCTTGCCCTTACAGTTCTCAATGTGTCCATACCCCACATCTTCATGAAAAGTACCATCCTTCAACGTCACTCTGACAATGACCGAGAGTCCTAAACTAACTTTCAAAGTCGTAGCATTTTCATCTACAAAGTCTACTTGTGTCTCGATGATCTGACTCGACCAACCATTGAATCCGAATACCTCGTTGGCAAGCTGAATACATTTCTCCGCTGTGATATAATGTACCTTGTGTCCTGATGGTCCTGCTCGCGATGATATATATTCGGGTCCTAGTTGTTTCTCTAGTCTACTTTGTAATGTAGCAATCTCTTGTGCTGTGTATTCTGATATGCGCGGTTTGACCTCTTCGAATGGGTTCGCGATCGCTCGTCCACTGTGCTGTTCGCCTGGACTGAAGATTGTTAATTGTTGCGTCGAGAAACTCAATCAAAGATACGTACGCAGGCATTTTGATGATTAAAGCTCAGCAATTGTTTACTTATCAAACTTCATAGAGGCTAGAAAGTGAATTAACTATGGGGTTATGTCACGACCAAGTTGGTGGTGTATTGTATTGTTGATGATGGCGATGGAGCTCAAAGTCGCGTCATACATCTTTAATACACGCTAAATCCACGGTATCACGTGTAGATAAATGCATCGGTTGACAATTAGCTCTCACGGGCATTCATATCAGATAATAAAAATTTGGAATTTCAGATTGTTATGGTATTCTGTGATCTCAAAATACTGGCCATTCTTCCTATGTTACTAAAGTGAAAATGACAAATGAATTACGCCTATTGAATTATTGCCACCGCCGAAGTATCCTCCACAAATGTACAAATGAAAAACCTATCCCTCAAGTACCATAACTCCCCAACCATGCTGCCAGATGGACAGTGAAAGGAAAATGGGAATCTTCGTAATCTTCGTGATTATTGCCGTTTGTCGATGACCATGATTAACACAAGACGCCTATGCGGTGAAATTCCCTCTAATGCCCCTAAGACTCATCGATCAATTAACATGACCTCCTCTATCCCATATGTACGAACACTCCTAGTATCAAAATGGCCCGAACCAAGAAAATATGATTTGAGTCTACCAGCGAGCTCCTACTGGCACACTCTGATTAGCACCATAGCGACCTGAAAGGAGTTGATTGCGGATAGAATCTGGATCTCCAGAGCTACCTCCCATCCAACCAAGGTTTGTACCGAGTGCGTCGACTGCCATCTGCATCTTTCCTCCACTCTGATCATTATGCCTAGCAAGTCTTTGGTCCCATCCACCAGAATGAAGCTGGAATCCTCCCCCACGCTTGGAGGCTTCACTAATCACCAAAGCCCAAGCCCTTGAAATTTCATCGTACGCATTGTCCTTGTGATGTTTATGAGACTGACTGTCCCAGTTTGGAAGATCGTGAACAATTTTGGTGGCACTATCGAGGAAGCTGAGAGAAGTAGCGGTTTGTTGTTCGTTCGGTGGGAGGTAATGCGGTGTGAAATCGACCAAAGCATCAATAAGATTTGTGAGTTGTTGCTTAACTCGATCGTAGGCATAATCCGATCCAGGACTGCCACCGTAAGGAAAAGCTTCCCGTAATTCGTTTTGGTATTTGTGAAGGACGCCAAGGGTGGATTCTACAGATGGTCTTGGTGCTGAAGTGACAATCTCCGAGCCGATCTCTGGGTGTCTTTCGCAGATAGTTTGGAGAACCGCTCTCAATGACTGAGCATCTAGGGTTTCGAGAAGACGAGGGAGGTTGAGAGGACGGCCGGTGATTTCGTTAGCTCGAACTTTCTTGGAGGGTCGGGGGATTTGTCGTGTGGCCAGGGCGGGGCTATTTGTAGGAGAAATAGACATTTTATCATCGAGTCCATCGTCATCAGCTTTTCGTTTTCGACTGCCCATTCTGAGGTTTGTGTGCGGAGAGGCTGTAATTCGTTGTCAGTATTGAATGTGAGAATGGATGCAAAAGGGGGGGGAGGTTCCTTACCTGGAGTATGAATGGGATTACGGTGAGGTGATGAAAAGAACGACGCTTGAGTTGGAAGCAAAACGTTCATCTTCGCCGTAGAAAAATAGTGATACGATTTTGCTTCCAGTATGAGTAGCACTCTATTTACTGGCTATTTCGAGAAGAATATTTGATGTGTGAAAGACGAAAATTGCTTTCTTGAAGATGTAAGAAAGTAATCGAGGTTCGTTGTTGATGGATTCGGGTAACCAAGACTACAAAAGAGGCGCTATAATAGCTCCGACGCTAACTCAATTACACAGCAGCAAAAATGAAGGACTCCCGGTGTCAGCACAACATATATAAAAAATACCTCTGTATAAAAAAAGCGTGATTATGAACGTTCCAAGGGCTAAGGTGGTTTATATTGTGTTTGGGTATAATGTTGTATTATCACATTATATTTACAAGATGTTTTATATCGATACTAGGGGAAGTTCACAAAGAGCCATGCTAAGCTGACTAGTATCGATCCTAGTATCTACTAGAAGTTTAACTACCTACTCGGGTTCTTCTTCGTTCATCCATTCTATTCCAGTTTCGATCATAAAAAAGAAAAAGTCTTCATAAAGAAGCAGGCGGGAGCGATACTCGAGAGAAACTGGAAGTTAGGCCTGTCATTCACACGTGCTGTGCAACCATTCGTCCCCACAAAATGGGCTGCAAAAAGCTGCAAGCAAGCAAGCATTTTGATCCGATATTACTCCATCCTTTATTAGTGGTGCTTCTACCCTTCGCTTTATTGGTATACCTACTAGGGAGGGAGTGAGGGAGGTAAGGTTAGGAATGAACTTGTTGCACATGGTGGCTACAGCAAGTACCGTATCTACAACATGAAATCTCAATCTATTCTAGAACTATCAGCTTTCTTCGAGTTGCTACTAATGGGATCATCACCTATTAGTGCACAGAGTAAGATCTACGGTACGGTATTTGCTAATTTTGGGTCGATGACCATTCCTCCTGAATCATCTAATACCATATAAGGTTATCTAATAGATTCATTAGCCACCACTACTAGGTAGCGGGAGTCAGCAGCATCCATGGATGGGCTCAACGCTATTTTGTGGCTGATGAAATACCTCATGTTGAATTCGAAGATGCAAAACTTTTGAGGATATCAGAAGATATATCTGCCAATTGATGGATTCAATTTTTGTGATCTTTGACAGGGTCATTGTTAGCTAGGTGGTATATTTGCCACCCTTTCGATTTACGGTTAGCCGGGAAAGGAGAGACCGAAACCACTCATCTGAGTGGGTCTCCTAGGACCTAGGTATATCTGATATTCCCAAACATAAATCACTTCATTCGTCACTTCTACTCCAACCTTACATGCAATGGAAGCAGCCGGCGGAAAATACGGTATTGGGTGCACGCAGAAACGCATGAGAAAAAAAGACAGGAAACAACGAGTCTAAAAGGTGCAGTAGTTGGCATTCTTTGCAAGAATCCTGTCTGCAAAGTTTTTGCAAATACCACATATATTGCTTTCTAGTCACGAACTGACTATCAAAACAGACATTGCCAGAATTTGGGAATGTTCAACGTAGAGTCTCAAGACTCAATACTCACGATCCTAACCAAAAAAGACAGTAATGAGACGCGCTTCTCCCTCGTTCATAAATCTCGCCTAGAGCAAATCCATCTCTCCTTTATAGACCATCTTCTCGACCTTCTGAATCAAATCCTGAAATAAGACCTCCTCGTAGCTAGGAGACCAGAAGTGTAACACCACGCTTACAACCAGTGCGATTGTGACACCAGCAGGTATTACAGCCGCCGCCATACCCAAAGCTTCATTCAGACTCGGATATCGAAAAAGTTGGAATATCACAACACAGATGATGGAAAGACAGATCGTATGCTGTTGATAGAAGTGATGTGAATTCGCTCGGTACATTGACATAGAGCATATGCCGTACATGAGGACCACGAACACAAAAGTTGTGGAGCTTGGATGATCGATAACTGGGAACCCTGTGAGATTGCGCTAGTATAGCGTAGGAATTTAGCAAGCAAACAACACGAGGAGACAAACGACACAAAATAAATTGAAATTCTTACATGCAATATCGTCCCCTTCATCGTTGATAATGAGGTCTGTACAATGTATCTCGACAATACGTACGACGAAACGACCAGTCCGGGTACTGCGCAAAGATTGATGCATATTCGATTCCTTCGATGATTGCTCTGCAATGCTGGATTTCGGCAGGAACACAAAATTTGCCGGTGGTCGATATTGGGTTTTGCATGTGTCGACGTATCTTGCCAACGGGCTTCGTTGTCTACAAACCAATGTTTCTTCGTCGCAATAGCCCCATAGACAGAACTTTGCAAATCATCCTTCTCTCCTTCCTGGTTTGCGCAGAGTTCATTTCTCCAGACGTTGAAATCGATTAGAAAGCCATCGGTCCTATCGAAAAGTTCCCATGTGGAAGATGGATAGGTTTTTCCAATTTGGATGTAATGTGGGACCTCTTCGGTTGGTAGCAAGGCAGCTTTCCATAGGGATGTATAGGGTTTTTCAGTATGAGAGTATGGTGGGAGCTTTCCGGTTGAAAGCAAGGCAGTGTTTCCTATGAGGCTAGTGCAGCTTCTTGTAGCATGAAGGTATTGAAGGAACTCTGAATTTTGAAGACGTGGTTTACACCATGAATTATACGCCTGACAAAGGAGAGAGTTTTGTGTTCTTGCGTCAGGATGGGCGATTGGTAAAAAGGCAGTGCTTCCCATAAGGGTAATACAGTTTCTTTCAGCATCACCCTCAACAAGTGCAATGCGGATTCTGCCATATTGTTTTATTCTTTCTCTTGTGTTGACAAAGTTAGCCGCACCCCCTTTCACATAAAAAATGGGTGTGTGGTCATGCGAGTGATGATATTCCTCTCTCTTCGAAGGCCAACTATCACGACTTCGAACAACCATAACGGCATGGCGCAATTTCCGGCAGGAAGTAATGAGGTCGCTGTTGCTATGCTGGATAGCGAGCCGGTCAACGATCTCAACGCTCTGCTTAACGCTCTCAACGATCTGGAAAACGGCGAAAGCCTCTATCCCAGACATCCCGAAACCCGGGCTGACAATCTATGTTTGTCGATGGCAAATTGATGAAGATGCTCGACAAAATTGTGAATCTTTCTGAGTAGCAGTCTGCACGAACCAAATTAGTGTACACTCTTCACATTCCGTATATTCTCCCTATTGTCACTCTGCGGATGATAATTCAACGTACCGATATTCGATAACTTGCAAGAAAGAATCTTTGAGGATATCCTGATTCTAGATAGCTGGGTTGTAAATCGATGCGAAAGGGTTCTAACGACATAAAGTTGATTACGTATGATAAGGCTTGCTCAGCCTCAATGTTACCCTATCTGGTCGTTAAGATACTGCCCACATTACTGACATACCGCTCGCCTCTCGCACCAGGTATATCGTCTTTCCACTATCACCTCCTTCACGCAGCATATAACCAGCTCACTCCATTGCTGCCAGTCTATTATTCATCATTTCATCAACTGCGTGTCCAATCACTATATTATCAACATCGAAATAGCCTCAAGCTCTTGCTAAACCGTCACAGCAAGATTTGGAGTCAAGGAAGACAACACGTCCATCAACATCGGTATGCTTAGCGTTCTACAAAATGCATATACAAATCATTCAGTACTCTTCTGGTGTGCTTCCTTCTGGTGTGCTTGCGAGCTTGTCCTGGTGATTATTGTGTGTATGCATACACAAACACAAAAACGGTTCCGGGAGAGATATCGCCCCATCCACGCAGTAGTACAATATCCCACCCACACAGCAGTAGATGTAAGTCCCTCTTTCCATTGGCTTGGTGCTTCTTCGACGGTGTTGTATCCACAAATCGCAGACATCTCGTTCAGTACGGTTCATTTCTAATCTCAATTAGCTCTATATCAAAGAATCTCGGAAATATTCTGCCTTGATATATCCCACAATATCATGCGAAAAAGGGCACCTACACGATGAAGCAATAACAGAAGATCGGCCAAACAAGAGGGCCGCTGAAGACTCGGACACACCTCTACATCAACCTCAGTGGGCTTTTCTCGTAGCGGAGGTGGAGCCATGGCAAGCTCCCACTGGAATGCTTCATACCTCATTTCAACGGAGTCATAGCTTCTTTGAAAATTTGCTTGGTGTTCCTAAGTTACGTAGACTAGCATCAAAATTTGCTATACCTGCTGAAGTGTGGCAGCATGGTACGTCTTCCTTGCTCGGGTTCATCGGAGGTGGACTGCCTATCCCACTTGATTCAACGTTTCCATTGGAAGTCACAACACTTTGCATGATGGCTCACGAGTGTAACCGGTTTGAATATTTGGGTTGCAGCCCTGGTGACGAAGAGGAACATCATGAGCTGTCACTTATCCTCAGAGAACGAAAGGAACGAACACCATGCAGAGCTCGTGGCATTCTTCCCAACAAGATTTGGAGCCGCAGTCTATCATCACCCCGAATCAAACCAAAGAATGAAGCCACGAAACATTGCGACAATGAGGCCCACAATACTAAGCTAAAAACACAATCAGGTCGAGCAAGTAGTAAGAGACTATCGCCAAAAGGTCTTCTTTTGAAACTCTTCAGCTTTCTGAGTACATTACTCACCGCCCCTGGCCATAAGAAACGACTTTTTACAAGTGTCCTCATGGCAAACATCATGACCGGCGTGTCGGGCGGAGTAATACCGCCCAAGAATAGCGAGATAAGGACATCGCTAACATTTTCCAACGAATCAAAACCATTCCAAAGCCTGAAAGACAAGAGCATACACTTGTTAAATCTGAGTTCTGAAGCAGTTATCGCATTGATTGTGATTGCTGTATGCGAAATGATCAGGAGGATTTTTTGCAGAAAAGTGCAGAATCGACTTCTGAGTGCTACGTGTATGGCTGCTTCAACATCTTGTTTCGCATATCTCCGCGATACCGAGGATATGACGGGTGGGCTCCTCGCCGGGTATGTTGTACATATAAATTTTCTCTTGGATACTGCATAGCTGACTTGTGTTTGTCTCCAGTATATATTTTGCAGGAGCTGTCTTTACTTGGAACACATTTTCCATGGGGGTCAAGAAATACAATTTTGGTACCCCGTATGTTCCTCCCGTTCTCATCGATTTTCATGGCTAATCTCTCTAAAGCTACATCATCGTTGGTATGATTCTTGGGATGACAATTCTTTGGAGAGGATTTCCGTACATACAGCCTTTGATCGGCTCTGTAAAGATTGATGTATTCATCTTGCCATCCATCATATTGTCATTTTCGATACTAGAGATGATCGTGAAAGTTCACGACGATATGATCCGCTGAATTAGACGGTAAAAATCTCATCATCCCCGCATCAGGGTTTGGATATATGGCGAATGATTCCCCATATTTCTGGGGGGAAAGATGGCGTTCTCAAAAGTACGTCATGGAAACGAGGCGTGTCATGATACGCTACTTTCCTTTTTGTCACATTATGGTCGTGGGTTCAGGGTGTTTAGAGGGCTCAGGGGGTTATTTGACTTAAGAAGCTCGTACAAGGTTGTACTTGAACCACGGAAAGCAAAAATGCTAATGTATTAAATCCAATCAAATATATAACAAGAAATATAGAATCAACAAGATGTACCATCATCGCACTGCAAATATCCCCATAGTGACTTTCGATTCTCCAACCCATATTTAAGCATAATGCCAACTACCAAAAACAACATTATGAAAAACCACATCACTACTCCTCAGCTCTCTCTCCCCTTCCCCAGAATTGAACAATCGCCTCCCACAGCTGTCGACATCCACCAGATCCTTAGCGAGAATCCTCGTCTGGGCCACCGCCATAATAATTTGAAAGCTTCTCCACAACATCCAATCAACTACATCCAAACTACATCCAACCACTTCAGATACCCCTTAAATCTCAAGTAGACGAGAAGACTTCATTCCTGTATCCTCATTTCTCTTTCCTCCCCCTTCTCCCTTCTCCCTTCTCCCTTCTCCCTTCTCCCTTCTCCCTTCTCCCTTCTCCCTTCAAAATCTCAATTCAAATCATCAATTAAATCTACACGCCCAGAACTTCAAGCCATCATATCGAAAATTACCTATACACAACTATACACAACTGTCAACTTTTTCCCCACCTTCCCCTCACATCCTCAAAAAATGGACATGATATTCATCACCCCCTTCAAATTCCAAAATCCATTTCAACCCACGGCCAGTCCTCGCTTTACTCAAACCCAACTCAGTCCGGCCCATCATTCCCATCCCCCTTCCCATCCCCATCCCAACCAACCCACAATCCCCCTCTACACTAACCAACCCCATAATCCCCCTCTGCACCAACCCAGTCCATCTATCTTCTACCATATACCCCCCTACTCCTCCTCTACCATCAATACACAAACCTACTTTCCGTTTTCCATCTCCATCTCCATCTCCATCTCCATCTCCATCTCCATCTCTATTTCCATCTCCATCTCCATCTCCATCTCCATCTCCATCTCCATCTCCATCTCCATCTCCATCTCCATCTCCATCCCTATTTTCCATCTCCATTTCTATTTCCATCTCCATCTCTAAATCTTTTCAATTCACACACCGAAATTTCACCCTCATAAACATATCAAAACACCATAGATACCGTATAGCTTCCGATTCTCTATAATAATATAATAATATAAACTCACAATAAACGTATGGTTTATCTAAAAGTCACTAAGACTCAATCATACTAATGCAAGAGCCCTGGGGTATTGTAGAGAGAGCCTCGCTAGTAAGATTTACCAACACTTGATTATTCTACTTGTTCGTCTCTGTGTCACTCAATTGTAGATCTGAATCTAATATTACATGGCCATAATTATAACTACGATCTCTAGGTGCCGAAGAACCAGGAGATTGTAGGAAGAAGGTTCTAAAAGGATACAGTTCACAAGGGGAGAAGGTTTCACGATCAAGGTACAACATAGTGTTACGCTGGTATATCTGGTATTCGATATATCTTTGAAAATGCTATAAAAGTTCCTTTGGTAGTCTTCGCTGTGACGGGGAGACTCCCTTATTTATTGTCCAAACTTCTCGTTAAAACGCATTTACAATTAATATATCGCTACCTTGCCACATTTATCCTACATTCGCTTTGATGCCAAGCTCTTGTTGAGTCTGGCCTGAACGGCTTCTTGTTGTGGATTCTGACGATTGCGAACTGGGGACAAGACTGGTCTACCGACAGTACTCTCATTCTCCTGGGGGGAAGCTGTGAAAACTGGAGCAGTAGCCTTCTGCGCATCATTGCTATCTGCGTCGGCAGGTCTTCCATTCAACATGTTGGATCTGGGAGGGAACGGGCGAGACGATGCGATAGCTACGGCGCTCTGAGGAGAAAACAATCTGTTATCTTGCGGCACGCTCGATGTCAACTGACTGTAGCTCGTCTTCGGAATGGATTGTCCAGTACGAGTTGAGCGTTTCAAAGCAGGAGCCTGGCTTGCCCATCTAGACGTTGATAATCCACTCGCGCGCTTCTTTTGGAGAAGCTCTTCAACTGTAGGGCTAGTACTGCGCTCTGGAGCTGGAGAAACGGCGGCCACTGTGCCATTATCCTTTTCCGCCTTAACGTCCAAATCACTAAAATCTTGGGCAAGTCTGTCGACGTCTGACTTTGTCACTGTATGCTTACCTCTGTGAGTACCCTGTCCCACTACCTTGGGTGCATTCATCTCATTGTTCATGACCTTGGCGAGAGTATTTGAATTAGTCTCTTGGGACTTGGACTTTTCGGTTTCGGAGGTGGAAGCAAGACCTTTAGGTTCATTCTTGGAAACCTCAGAGCTTTCAACGTTGATCGAAGTTGCTTGTGGCTTAGGGGGTAGAGATTCTTGCTTGGTAACAACTTGACGTGCAGTAGGGTTGTAACCAGATGAAGCACGAAGAACGGCTGCTTGATTAATGACTTCTGGCCTAGCGTACCTAGAAGTGCTCAGACCTCTGTTTGATGGAAGCTTGGGTGGACCATCGCCGCTTCGAGCGTCCATCTTATCTTCTGCTTTGTTCTCATCGGCCGCGGACAAATTCTTGGATGAATTATGAGTAGCGGATTGAGAAGTGATGGAGTATTTTCCACTGGGCTTATCAGAGTTATCATGGTGATGAGCATCAACTGATGACTTGTCGACATCATTTTCAGCAGAAATAGACAGAGTCAAACCATTTTCGATACTTTCAATATTATCACCTGCGGAGGATAGGCTCTTGCTGACGTTGATTGGTGTTTCATGCTTTGCACCGGAAGACTCTGGAGAATTGGCGGCGCCTGATGAGGCTACAAAGCTGGTCTTTCCTGGTGCATGCTCATCTTGTCGAACATTCTGTGAAACTTCTTCAAAGTTAACTATGCTGCTGAAATCAGTCTTCCATTCAGATGGTTGGAGTTTTGTTGCAGTAGCTCTGGGTGAGTTCTTGTATTGTAGCTTATGCCCAGGGAGGTACTTTTCGAGACAATTTCTTGCAGTGAGTACTTCACTGGTCAAGGTGGCATCTGGTCGCATCTTCATCATCTCCTGAATCGAATAAACCACTCGCTTAGGTCTGGGAATAACATTCATGATGACTGCAGCAGACTTGGCAACTTGGGTAGGGTTGATAGCCTCGGTGGGCTTGGTAGCTTCAACAATTTGAAGAGGCTCCACAGGCTTGATAGTATCAATGATTTCAGAGACTTCAGTCAATTCGACAGCCTGGACAGAACCAGATTTCTCAGCGGGGATGGGAGTCGCCGATTGAGTACCGTTATGAGAATTTTGAGCCATGTCGAGAATTTTCTTGGCGATCTCCTTGATGTAGGCGTCAATAAACTCCTGGGGAAAGCGTAGCAATGTTTCAGATCTTGTCAAAAAGTCTGAAACAAGTTCTTCGGTGACTGACAAGATTGGCTTTGAGCTTGAATAACGAGAGGATGACAGTCCGCCAATAAAAACATTTTTGGCATGTTTCATGAAATGCGCATCGTTTTCAAGTCCTACATTCTTGGCCAAGTGAAAAACGTGATCATAAAAAGAACCGCCGTGATTTGCATTCAAAACCTGGAGTGTACCTTCAACAATATCCCCTTCCATTAAGCTCAAAAGATCCTGGAAGTGGGAGTACTCTTCAACTTGATTATCCTCAGCTTTGCATTCCTGTTCATGGAGTGGGACAAGAATTTCTTCGCTATCAATCAAAAGAAGATCAGCAAATGTAGAACTGCTGATTCTGTTCCTAAGATAGGCTTTTTCAGCATCGGATTTCTCTTTTTCTGTCAATGATGAAATGGGGGCCAGAAGTACAAGTGGACCCTGGCCTTCTTGTTCTGAGGAGTGAGAGGAGCCACCGCTACGTCTCAACTCTGAGAGTCTGAAAGTATGATAGTTAACAAAGCTCTTTGCGTCACCAGGCAGCTGAAATTTTAACTTCCAGGTGGGTATCTTTTCTGTCGTAGAATTGGCCCGATATGTGACAGTGTTCACAGTAACTCCATCCTTCGTAATGATTTTTAATATCGCAGCCTCTGACAATAACTCGCTCACAATAACCTCGTTATTAATTTCAACTTCGAGGGTCAAAGGAGATTTGTGATCGAGTTTGATAAGTCTTGCAATTCCGAGTTTGTAAGTACTGTTATTCTTGCAAACTTTGACCGGTCTCTCAACGATCACAGAGCGAACAATGACTGGTTTGGGGTAGACCGTTGCATCATCTGTCATTAACGTCAGGCTGGCAGCAACAGTAGCATGTTGAACAGAATGGGTCAACTCGGAAGCAGTTGTTGACATTGCTGGTGGTACCGACCGAACAGAATCATCAGAATCCGACGTCTTTGCACCAACAATGGGCGTGATCTGCTGAGCAGAACAAATCGACATTGAAGCGCCAGTGGTAATGGCAGGTACGACTTGTTGAACAGAGGGGACCGACGCCGAGGCGCTCGCAGTATCGGCATGTGTAGCAGATCGACTGAGGTCATCTGATCCAGACATGTCGACAAGTGGAGCTGAAGACAATGCCCACCGAGAAGCCGCAAGGCCACCTTGGGGTGCCAATTTAGAAGCTGGTGGTGGTACCAAAATATCATCATCGACTTTGTTTTGTGGTGCAGAAACAACAGGCTCGGGAGCGCTTGCAACTGGGCTGAAGCCAATATTATTGTGCGAAAGAAAGGTTGCAGGGCTGGTGAGCTTGAATCTCGAATTTACAAGTCGATTTGCTTGAGGAGGAGCAGCACGAGCGACTACAGGAGACGCAGCTCGAAGAACTGGCTTTGTAGATATGGATGTCGATTGAGGCGTCTTGAAAGAGCGGCCTACAGTTCGATTCTTTCTGCTGGACTCAGCCTCGCGTTGTAAAAGAGCAATGCCAGCATCAACCTTAGCATGTGATTTGCCACCGCGTCTCGCATCGTTGTAATAAGTTTGACTGGTGACTTGTTAGTTCAGAATGAACCATTTATTATGGCTTCATAATTTTCAGGGAATACATACCCGGAAACAGAGTTATCAGTTTTTTTACCTCCTGCTGCAAAATTTCCGCGACCACCCACAGATGCATGACCACCTCTGTTTGAAGCTCCACCCCGACCGTGACCTGCAGAATGGCCACTTCTGCTACCATTGCTTAGTGCAGTGCCAGCTCTGCGAAGTCGATATAATTGTCCACCGGCAATATCGTCAAGATCTTCAACGCCAGGATCGACGTCGTCGAGTTTGAGATCTAAAAATACAAGTCAGCATGCAGACAGACAGACAGATCAAGGACAAGCTTTCTGGACATCGAACTTACTATGCCAAGCGGATGCAGGGTGGTCTGGTCTAACTTGTCTGTTGATGAATGACAATGGTACCATTGGAACGTTAGCAGCTCGATCTTCGAGTGGCAGGGCATCTCTGCGACTAATACCAAGCTCTTCCTGAAAAACAAAAGGATTAGAATGTTGAAGCATACAGCAACACGGTGTGATATAATAAAGGGAACAAGTACGCAAGGGCTTACCATCATAGCTTGCTTGACCGCCTCCAATTTCGCAGCTGATAGTTCTCTTTCCGTCATCTTGAAGATGATAATATGATCTGATACTGCAAGGTAAATTCAAGTTAGGGAGGGTCAACAATAATATACTGTTATTGGCCTCGATCTCGTAGGCAGGCATGAATGTTTGGACATACCTTCAATAATGCGCAGGTTGGATGCAATATTTGAATCTGTAGGGAATAAAAAGGTTACGAGATTCTGGGGGAGTTTTTGAGGTGCTTTCTGGATTGACTGTGAAAAAGGTTGTCTTGAATTTTCAAGTTACTAGGAAAAGTAGGAAAACAAAACTCGGTAACCCAGTAAGCTAAGGGCATTGGGATTATGATTGGCTAAATAATTGAATGAGGAAGGAAGTGAAGTTGAGACGAGAGTGCAAGGGAAAGAACGAAGGAGGGGAAGGAGAGGAGGGAAGGAATGATAAGTATGGTCAACGGGGATTGAGCCCACAAATTCATCACAATCTTTCAATTCCGTTTCAGTCTCGGAATATGCGT